TTCTGGGAACAAGGTGCGGCTTGGCGCTGGAGTGATTCCATCGAGCGAGGAGAGACGGGGGATGGGAATGGGCAGGGGGTGCGAGAGAGGGGGGGAGAGGGAGAGAGAGGGGGGAGAGGTGGAGAGAGGGGGAAAGGAAGAGTGGGGGCAAGGGGGAGGGGGAGAGCTAGGGTGGAAAAAAAGGGGGGAAAAGAGGTGTCTAGTGTTTGTAAACTTTGCTTCGCACAGCTTTCGACTCCAATTCCCAGCTCCATCACGCCTTTCGCCCGACCTCCCCTCAATTTGCCCCAATTTTCCCCTTCAATGTCCGACTTTTACAGAGACCACACGCATCCGCGTTTACCGGTGTCGCGGAACACGAGTTGATGGAGCAAAGGATGGTGAAATTGTGCAAATCAATCTCCGCGTTTCCACGTCAGCAGCCATGCAGCGCAATTACAGCCGTTGACAACGATTCCTCCAGGCGGTCACATGCAGATTTCCATCCGAACCAGCTCGAAGCATCCTCCATGCAAGTGAAACTTGCTTCAGCATTCAGACTTACAAGCGAATTTCCTACACCGCGTTCTCCTGACATCACATCCAGGACTCTTATTTAAAGCTCAGTTGGATATTCTACACCTTGTGGAATTCAGTACAGGATTCCTCCTCCAGATAGGTGTCCAGGTGCCCCTCGAAAGGCTCCACACTTCGAACTTCTTGCACAGCTCAGCTGCACAAGTATAATCACAGCATGCAGGTGTGGATGCATCGGGTTTGAGACGGGGAAGGCCCCTATGCAGTGGAATGGCCAATGCCGGCGTTCAGTTTCTGGAAGTGAAGCGATGACTTTGGTATCGCGCTCACGAATCACTTCTGTACATACTTCAGTGTCCACTTCATCAGTTGGGCATTCTGCTATGGCTGAGAGGACTGTACATGCTCACATAGATCCTGTGACGTATGCTAGTGTTGACAGTTCGCCCACTCCAGCCCGAAGTGGCACACGAGTACGTTTTAGTGAGGTGCCGCATCCTTCTAGGAGCCTGAGGAGGCTATTCCGTCCTCTGGATTTTGGCTGTGGTGAAATATTGTGCTAGTGCTTGTGTATATGTTAACTTGAAATCCATAATCCTCTAATAAAAACATTATTCATTAGTGACCCATGTATGTGTGGCTGTGGGTGTGAATGTGGCCCGATTATTGCTTACTTTGCTTCAGAAATATTTATTTTATAGTTGTAGCATATTTACTTTTTGAAGATTCTTGTGGGACGGACACGTACACAATTGGTGCATGATTCTATGGGGTTTTGTGCTGAAGCCGTAGCATCATTTCCAGGTTCCCTCCCCGATGACACGAAGGCAGGCGCTGCTGATCACAAGCCTGATGACGTGTCGAGTTTCGATGACGTGCGAAGATGCTCCCTGAAGCTGCTTGTGGCGGGAAGGAGCTCCCGCGCTCCAAGTTCGGAGTAGGGGGGATGATCTTTCCCGCCAAAACTACCGAACGTATTCGAATGGTGCAAAGTACTCGCACCCCCTCCTTTCTGCTACCAAGACCACCCAAACACAAACCCTATCAGATGTGCTTTTTGGACGGTCGAAGATACACCTATGCAGATATCACACTTTTCTGGGACGGGGTTGACAGCTCGGCTAAAAAGAGAGTTTAGTGACGTGTCAACTGCAGAGCTGCATGTGATCTGACTGCTCGCACCCTACACTTGACTGGTCGAATTCTTGCAATGACGTGGCACGGCGCTCAAACGCGTTGACGACGCTACCTTCAGCCAATAGGGAGTAACGTTCTATTTTCACTGTAGGAAGAACGACGTCATTCGAAACAGCACACTCCCTTCGAAAGTTTACGCACGCACTTTTTCAGAATGTTTTCGTGGCTGCCCTTTATCCTCGCATCTACAGTTTCGTTCCCCCATTCAGCCAACCAGCGCCACCAGCCAACACCTGGCGTTTGCCGAAATTACGTTGACCATCCTGTACTTTTGTGCAGCTGGAGTCAATCCAACCCCACCTCCCCGCTGCTTTCGGCATGATGATGAGGAGGATGGAAACAAGTTTTCTTGGTGGACGTAATCGCTGAAAGATCGTTTTTTGGGCAGACCCAGACTGGCCTCGTTCTGCACGTCTCACATTCCTTTCGCTTGTTACTGAACAGTCTCTTGTCCGCCACATCATCATTTTCCTAGTCAGCAGCAGGTGTCACACGACAGATGACACGGCAACTTGACCAGCCCAAAGTGCGACCGGGCCATTCCAATTCCCACTCAAGTTTCGTGCAGATAGGGTTCGCTTGAGTCAGAAATGGAGTTTGGGGAAGGGGAGAAAGGGAAATTATACGGGATGTCACAATTATACCCGTTTTATCACGTTTAGTCACAGGGGAACCACAAACAGTCACAGTACAGTAGATTGCTATCGCGGGTGATCACAGTGCTATCACGGATGGTCACACCTCGCCCCGAAAAGCTATCACGTTTGGTCACTCGTTGAAACGGTCATTATAAGTTGAAACTACACAAGTCACTGTAGGGATTCAAGGACAGTTATCTCGCGCGCGCCGTTTTGTCCGTAGTGTTACGAAATTGTTTCGCGCACCCTCTCGGTAACTCGTTAAAATCATTTGAGATTTCTTGTTACTATTCGATTGTCCAGTGTTCGATGGATGCATAATGACCCTAAAATATCACTTTAGATGGGTGAAACTCGTAGGGTTGTATAATGACCCTAAAAAAACTAAAACCCATTCGGATGGGATTTAATTCGGGATGCATCAACCCTAAACACCTTGTCGCATGGTGTTTAGGGTTGATGCCTCCCAATGGACGTGCCATCCTTTAGGGGTTTATTTTTTTCTTCATTCCCCTAAATGTCGGGCTAGAATTTTGCGCGAGGTAACAAGCAATGAAGGTTGGGATTCCCTAGAATTTCTACAGTTAATTTTGTGGTTTCAAATTAATTATCCTCATTTGATCGAGTGACCAAACGTGATAGCTTTCTCGGGCGAGGTATGACCATCCGTGATAGCACTGTGATCACTCGCGATAGCAATCTACTGTACTGTGACTGTTTGTGATTCCCCTGTGACCAGTCGTGATAAAATGGGCATAATTGTGACTGCCCGTATAATTTTCCGGGAAGAAAAGGGAACACCAGCAAGGACAGAACAGACAACCCTATCCGCACCGAACCTAGTGCTGCGTTGACATGGATGCACGCACAACACCGGCCACAAACAGAATTGCGTCACCCCCTTCCCCTTTTTCTCCGCCTCCACCTCAACCTCCCCTCTCCGCTCCCCCGCATTTTTTCCCCCACAGCGCGTTACTGTACAAAACACACCAGCGTAGGCACACTCACATATTTCGCCCCTCCAATCCTACGCTTTCTTCGCATGTTGAACCCCCTTCTCCCCTCCTCACTTTCCGCAAACTCACGCAACGCACACAGCGGCGTACCCCCAGTTCACCTCCCTCGCTACGCAAACATTATCGCTCTCAAGTCAGGCAGGCACCCAAGCAAGCCTCGCAAGTCCAGTTCCCAAAATCTCCTTGTCCCACTTCCTAGTATTCTCGAGTCCCATCCCTCTCCCGACCGACTCAGTAAGTCCTCCTGAGGGTTCCCCAATTCACAGTACCCTCCCCACAACAGCAGCAGCTCCTGCCTTCGCTTCCCAAAACAGACTGTGTGTTCAGGCTTTGTTTTCAGCCGAATGTTTCCAAGCTACAACCAACACACATTTACCCCCTCTGCTTGCTACCGCGCATTGCTTTCCAGTGCAAGACTTTCCCCTTTGAAACTAGCTGCATTCTTTGGAAGTGACTCCATTGCCTTGTCTGTGTAACACCTCGCTACCCACTGGGTCAAAACGAGGGTGTTATTTGGCGCAGCGGAGTGCCCTTAACACAGCCCACAGGCGTTACACTCATCCCCCCCTGGTGCCAACGTCCCCGTTGGCCCTGGACTTCAGGAAGTCGGCCCCCTGCCGCTGGGACCTAGATTTCGCAGTGCTGCTGGCTGCGACTTCGCTGGTTGCTCAGGCCAAGCGGAGGATCGTTCGCTGGGTTCGAGCTGGTTACAACCGCACTTCAGTTCTCGCCAAAGGCGGAAAGTGTGGTCCAGCCGGGATTCGAACCCTAGGCTCTGATTCCAAATGTAACACCTCGCTACCCACTGGGTCAAAACGAGGGTGTTATTTGGCGCAGCGGAGTGCCCTTAACACAGCCCACAGGCGTTACACTCATCCCCCCCTGGTGCCAACGTCCCCGTTGGCCCTGGACTTCAGGAAGTCGGCCCCCTGCCGTTGGGACCTAGATTTCGCAGTGCTGCTGGCTGCGACTTCGCTGGTTGCTCAGGCCAAGCGGAGGATCGTTCGCTGGGTTCGAGCTGGTTACAACCGCACTTCAGTTCTCGCCAAAGGCGGAAAGTGTGGTCCAGCCGGGATTCGAACCCTAGGCTCTGATTCCAAATGTAACACCTCGCTACCCACTGGGTCAAAACGAGGGTGTTATTTGGCGCAGCGGAGTGCCCTTAACACAGCCCACAGGCGTTACAGTCTGCGACTGCGTGCTCGCTGCTTCCGGTCTTTTCACTGCGGCCCACAATTCAATCAACGCTTGTGCAGTCAGCGCTTTCCCTTCCGCTGTCGCCGCTATTCTGTCTGTAAGCAGCTCCGTTCCGGCCCACATTCTGCATTTGAAACGGTGAAAGATCCCCGTCACCCAAAAGCAACGAAGCCTGGGCGTGAAAAGGCCGCCACGTATTTAAGCCTTTATTCTGCAGCCCATCCCGCGCCGCGCTCTTCACCTGTACCGGCTTCGCTTTGCGGATTCAGGAGCATCTCTGTCTGCTTATTACGCGCCAAGTTTCGCGGCATTGTTTTTCTGCGTTTGAGACGTTTCGAGCCGAGAAGTCGAGAATCAGCGGATCTCAATTTCAGATCTGCGTTTGAGACGGCTCCAACGTTTGTTACATAGTAACAGCGCCTGCTTTCGCGCGAACATGGTTACCATGTCCATACATCTCGCCGAGGAATCTCTTGAAGGTGCCTCTGGATCTGAGCTGCGGCAACTTCTGTCTTCCGTCGCCGCCGCGGGCGATTCCAACGCAACTGTCGCCGTCGTCATGGGCGACACCGCTGGCGACGTGCCTGCTCTTGCTGATTGCGACGAAGTTCGTCGTTTGCCGCTCTCCATCCCCGCAACTTACGAGGCCAACAAGGGAGGCGCTGACGTGTTGGATGCGTCCGGTTCGAGCAAACTGGGCGTCGGGAAATCTGAAGCGGTTGATTCGATTGTGAATGCTCCAGAAGCGCGCGATGCTACTGTCTCTCTGTTTGGTATCAAGGTAAGGACGGACCGGGGAGCAAACGCGTTGGGTGTAGGAAGTAATGGGGGTGGGAGGGCTAAGGGGACGTTAGCGCGGACTTCTGAAAATATTGGTTTCCGGAGGGGATAGTTCGTTTCCGTGTTGCTTGCTGTTGCATACGTATAAAAAAACTGGTTGCTGTAAGCCTCTCGGGCAGCAGCGTTTTCTTCTGGCTTGCAGCTTCGCCTTTTTTGTCTTGGCGCTTTATACTCTTGTTTCGGGCAGCAGCCTTAAGTTTCGATTCTCCCGATCGTCTCTCTCCTAATCTTCCCTATTTTTCCAATTCCTTCACCATTTCTTTATTTCAGCGATCGCATTCATCTGCGTTTGAAGGTGCTTCGGAACCGGAAAAGGCCAAAAGACGGACAGCTGAGCAGGAAGCGCGAATTTGCTGTTCTCCGCATCAGCCGGCATGCAGCGGTTTGACAACTATCCACGGCGTTGATTCAACTCCGTCACCTGCAGATCTTAGACGGAGCAATCGCGCTTCATCCTCCGGACAAGCTGAACTCGATTCCCGTTTGGTGCTGCCTACAAGTGCTGGCTTTTCTACACCAAACTCTCGTCTTAAAGTTATTCCGTCCGATTCAACATCTGAAACATCTACCGAAATTTCTACCCCTCAAGAAGATGGATCTCGGATTCCTACCCCAGCAGAATGTCCTGGAACGCCTAAAAAGGTGACATTTTCCACGTTCATTTCACGTCTTGGTGGCACTAATGGCAACACTGTCAGCGCTACAACCCCGAACCGACATGACAATGTGGAGCGTGACACAAGCGGGAGGACGATGCTGTGCAGATCTGAATTTCAGGATGGCAATGCTGCAGGCTCCCAGGATTTCATCACATTAGGCACCGACTCGAATGTTTCGCTTGCGTCCCCAACGCTAGCAAGTATCGACAACTTCAGGGTTCCATTGGCTCAAGCTCCGCGCCGACCCTCTGGCAATCTAATGAGACTCTTTCGTCCGCTTGACTTCAGTTCTGCAGGCGTCAGATGCTGACGTGGCTGATGTGACCTGTCCCTGCTGATGTGGCATTCTGACACCATTAACCTCGACTAATGGCTTGCTGAGTTGCTAACTTTTCTCGCCAGACTTTGGGCAACAGGAGGCAACTTGGGTAATTTTCTGAAGATCACCGCATTGTGGTCTGCTGACCGGTTGCATCTGCTGTAGAATCCGATTGGTTCTGCCGATTTGCTTGCCTATGTGAGCTTCTGCTAACCTGCTGCTGGTTTCTGCTCGCCTGCCGCTGCTTGAATCTGCTTGCCTCTGCTGTCCTGGTTTCTGCTGACATCCTTCATGCTCCTGCTCACCTCCTGCTGACCAACGTATCACTTGGAGTTTGTCAAATTCGAAGACTGGTGTAGAGCGTTGAGAGGAATGGGTAATAGCTGACAGCACATGCTCTTTGGCTAGATTGAGTTGTTAGGGTTGGGATTGGCTGGTCAGTTGAGTGTAGCTACTTTGCATGGATAGGTAGTGGTACAAATGTTGCTTTGGTACATTTTGTGCAGAAAGCTAACCTGATTGTATTGCAATGGGCTGCCCATGTGTTTTGTTAGCTGGTTTTTCATGTAATGTTTACACTTGTATATCTATCAGGTAGGCTCAATCTTGAACTCAGTTGGTCGAACATACCTCAGAAATGAGCCTGGTTGGGGAGGTTGCGTCCTAATAACGTTGGCCATGCCAGGTGAACAGTCGAATTTCATGTTAAGAATGCTGGTTTTGCATACACGTTAGTGCTCGCAAACTTGCACACTCTGTTCGCGCTAAAGGAGTCAACACAAGCGAGGCCAAGCCATATGTCCAGCCCACCTTGTGGAGGCCTGATGTTTCAGCCTCCAAAGGTTACACGTCAGTTCAGAAACTAGTGGTGTGTGATGCAGCCACGTCTCACACTTTTAGACAGGCCAATTGAAGACCCCTGAGTGTGGAACGTAAGTTCTGAGCTGGGGGCAGTCTCGCGACGCGACTCTTTAAGAAGCGCGGCGAGCGTTGACGTGGTGAACTGTTTTTCTATGCGAAAGGAAGGACTGATAGCTGATATACCGTACCAACGTTGAGTAACCAGTGCGAAACGGAGCGCCTGAATTTCTGACGAGGAGGGCGGAGTATTGCGCATTGCAGCATAAAATTTTCAGCGGAGTTTGCGCGAGGCTACGATTGTCCCGCGTACCAACGCGCTTCTCAAGGCGACTTGCAAAAATTCATTTAAGCACGCCTTCGGTGGCTTCGAGATTGCGATTATCCTCCGCATTACGCGGTCTTTATTTTCCTCTGCGGTCCGTATTTTTAAGTCGACAGTGACGCGTTAGGGCCTAAGGCTCCTCAGGACTCCACCGAGTAAAGTCCGCTGACGCTTAGTGGCTGATGCTTGCTGGCAACTGGCGCTTAGTGGACGCTTAGAAACTGACGCTTACGCTTAGCGCTAGTCGCTTAGTGCTCCACGAGTGGTGTGTTAGACTTGATGAAGATGGCTGACGTCACGACGGCGCAAGCAGCAGGTATGCTCTTAGCCTAACAGCAGCAGGTATGCTCTTAACTTAACAGCAGCAGGTATGCTCTTAGCCTAAATTTCGGACTAAAGAACAACAGGATTAGAAGCTTGACGCTTAGTATAAAGATGGCTGATGTTACGGCGGCGCGAGCAGGAGCAGCGTGGGGATGCGCAGAGGGTATGTTTTGTCCCCATTCTCCTGCACATCTACCTTTCTGTTTATATCGAGTCAGACCAGGATGCCCATATGAGCAGTTCCCCTCATTCACAGCTCCCGCCTTCCACCCCACTTTCCCGAGTCCCCTTTTTCCGGCTCCCCGCTTCCCTCCTTCCGCTTTCCCCCTTCTCGTTCCCCCTTTACCGTTCCCCCCGATTCCCTCCCCCATTTCGTCGCTCACAACGCGTTCCGGCTTCCCCCCTTCGCCCGTTCGGCGCTCCCTCCGCTTCACCGATTCCCCGCCTCCCCGCTTCACCGATTCCCCGCCTCCCCGCTTCACCGATTCCCGCCTCCCCGCTGCCCGTTCCCTCGTTCACCGTTCTTCCCGCTTCCCGTCTCCCCCGCCCTCCCGTCTCCCCCGCCCTCCCCGCGCCCGTTGCCCCGCTTGAACGCGTCAGACCAAGATGCAGACGCGCAGGTTCCCCGATTCCGGCGGAATAATAACTCTCCGCCTCCCTCTCCCCCTCCCCGCGCCCGTTGCCCCGCTTGAACGCGTCAGATCAAGATGCAGACGCGCAGGTTCCCCGATTCCGGCGGAATAATATCTCCGCAGCCGCCGCAACTGGCGCCGCCGCAACTGGCGCCGCAACTGGTGCCGCAGGAGGGGGAGGGGCAGGCGCGGCAAGAGCGGGAGGGGGAGGAGGTGGGGCAGGGGAAGGGGAAGGAGCAGGGCGGGCGGAATTGCGTGGGAACTCGGGGGATGTACTTGCTGAAAATGCTGCCTCTGGTGGTGGTGCTTCGTTTGGAAATGAGGAGGAAGGGGGATATGGGGGGGAAGGGGGAGAAGGAGGAGAGGATGATTATTATGACGAGGATGAGGAGGAGGAGGAGGATGAGGGGGAGGAAGGGGGGCAGGGGGGGGGTAGGGGAGGGGGAGGGGCAAGGGCGGCGGGAGAAGGTGGTGCGGGGGGTGCAGGGGGTGGGGGAGGAGTGAGGCGGAGAGGGGGAAGCACTGCTGAGCGAGAGCACAAGAGATTAAGGAGGTGTGTGAACGGCTTAGGAGGCTTGCTTACACCTTATGGCTATGTGGAGTTTATGGTGTAAAGAGAGATATCGGGGTTGCGTGAACGACTTCCGAAGTATGAGGAGTAATTGGGAGGCATGTGGGCAAGTGGGGAGCAAGTGGAAAACCATGTGGGGAAGCAAGTGGGGAAGCAAGTGGGGAACCATGTGGGGAAGCAAATGGGGAAGCAAGTGGGGAAGCAAGTGGGGAACCATGTGGGGAAGCAAGTGGGGAAGCAAGTGGGGAAGCAAGTGGGGAACCATGGGGGGACCATGTGGGGATCCATGTGGGGAACCATGTGGGGAACCATGTGGGGAACCATGTGGGGAACCATGTGGGGAAGCAAGTGGGGAAGCAAGTGGGGAAGCAAGTGGGGAAGCAAGTGGGGAACCATGTGGTGATGTGGGTGGAGAAGTTAGCTGAGGTGGGTTTGACTGACTTGTACCTTGGATTACCCTTCCCTTCTCGCCATCATTCCCTTTACAAGTGGCTTCGTGACATGGTATCGGCTCAGTAGGCGAGAAAGGAGCGATTGATTATCTTCACCATCATCACAATCGTATTGAGGTTTCATTCCGTCTCCTTTACAGGCTGCTTCGAAACAGGGTGTCGGCACAGCAGGCGAGGCAACAGTGCCTAGTTTGGATCAACATCAGCATAATCGAATTCATACCCCAATCCATCCCCTTTACAGGCTGCTTCGCAACAGGGTGTCGGCGCAGCAGGCAAGAGAGCGGCGGAAGCAGTACCTCTTGGAATTGGAGGGGCGGGTCTCTCAGCTGGACCAGCGGAACGCTGAGCTAAAAGAAACACTTAGCACCTTGCAGCGGGAGAATTTCATGCTGAGACAGGTATGGAGGGGGTCAGGAACAGCGTTTCACTAAACGGGTGCGATATGTACTGTACTGAGTATTGGGGTGTTAGCAGCTGGATCAGCAGAAAGCAAAGGTAAGAGAAGCACTAAGCACCTTGCAACGGGAGAACCTTACATATATCATTAACGTCATTTCCATGATCCCCTCTCATGCCACCTGTTGCCATCGCCCCTCCTATTACTCCCTTTCCCTTGACCTTCCACTTTCCCTGGATCATATCTGGGCTGCTAAGCTTCCAAACTCAAATTGGAATAGCTGCAATTCCTGAAGAAAACGCTTAAGCAACTGTAAGGAACGAAACTGTAAAACCTTTCCAGAAATTGAAGTAGTACAAGAAACCCCTTAACCTTCCTCTTTCCCTGGATCATATCTGGGCTGGACTGTTAAGCTCATGGTATGTGCATGAGTTGCGATTATGGTTCTGAGAGTGATTATGCATGTGATCAAGTGTTTCTTTTCAGATTTGATTGTAGTTTTGCTCCCCCCTTCCCCCCCATGTCCCTCCTTACATTCCCCCCCTTCCTTACCCCCTGCCAGGTGGCTCGGAACACGGCTCAAGCAGCAGACGCCCCACCAAGCCATTGACGGGCTTCTTTCTAACGAAAACAAAGCTCAAGCAAGAGAGGCTACGGTATTACACACTAAGATTACGCACGCTTTCATTTTATCGGGGATAGAAATGCAGCTCAAGCAGCAAAAGACCTAGAGAATCTCCCTTATTTCCAAACCTCTAAGCTCATGCAGCTATACTATTACCGCATGATAGTGCTTTATTCTTCATTTTCAGGCTTAACTATAACCTGTGCCATCTGTCCAATATACATAAGACATATTCTACATTGTCAGTACATGTACGCCTGCAGCTCTAAGCCTCTGCCCGCCCCTGTGAAAGAAACTGCTGCACGAACCCCACGTGCAGAGCCACGCCAATGGGCAGATCCAAGCTCTACACGCCTTCCCAATGCCTTCCCTGTACGCCTGCAGCTCTAAGCCTCTGCCCGCCCCTGTGAAAGAAACTGCTGCACGAACCCCACGTGCAGAGCCACGCCAATGGGCAGATCCAAGCTCTACACGCCTTCCCAATGCCTTCCCTGTACGCCTGCAGCTCTAAGCCTCTGCCCGCCCCTGTGAAAGAAACTGCTGCACGAACCCCACGTGCAGAGCCACGCCAATGGGCAGATCCAAGCTCTACACGCCTTCCCAATGCCTTCCCTGTACGCCTGCAGCTCTAAGCCTCTGCCCGCCCCTGTGAAAGAAACTGCTGCACGAACCCCACGTGCAGCGCCACGCCAATGGGCAGAGCCGCTTCATCAATGGTGAACATGGGGGAATGCAGAGGCGGACTGTTGCTGCTGCTGCTGCTGCTGCTGCTATTGACCTCAGATGCCCCCACTCCCAGAAAGAACATGGCCCCAGGCACAGCCTCCTGGTAAAAAGAAAAATCCTCCCCAGCCATCCACGGATCTACATCCAGGTACGCGGAGCTTCCCAGAAGCTTCTGGACCACGTCGCGGCCGAGCGCGTGCATGCTGACGTCATTCACCGTGGGGGGGTAGGCTGGGATGCGCTTGGGCGGCCAGGCGTACCCGAGAGGGTCGGCAAGAGGCTCGGAAAGAGGCTCGGAAGAAGGTTCACCAGAGCTTTTAGCAGTACAGGAGCCCTGAGCCGTATTGCCAGCTGTGTTTGTGCAAAAACCTTCTGATTCTGATTCTGCTGCCTTCGTCGCTTCATCACCACCACCACCATCAGCACCAGCATCAGCTTGCAGGTTAGCATCCATCATCCCATAATCCACCTCTCCCCGGCATCCAAACACGCGCGCCTGCGTGTCGATGATGTCAGCAATGCGCCGTTCCAGGTCAGCGAGCCCGTCTTTAGTGGTGGCTCTGTAGGTGCCCCGCAGCGTGACTGTATCGGGGATGACATTATCAGCCGAGCCGCCGTGGAACTGAGTGACTGAGATAACACGTGAAGCGAAAGGGTCGGTCTCCCTCGATACAATCGCTTGGAGGCTGGAGAAACACGGAAAAGCGGAGGGGAGCAGGGGAGGGGAGGAGGAGAAAAGCGGAGGAATGGGAGTGGGAAAAGAGAAACATGGGGGTCCGCAAACCCATCCTTAGGGTCAGCTCTGGAAAAAGGTGCCCCGCAGCGTGACTGTATCGGGGATGACATTGTCCGCCGAGCCGCCGTGGAACTGAGTCACCGAGATAACCCGCAAGGCAAAGGGGTCGGTCTCTCTAGAGACTATTGCCTGGAGGCTGGGAAACAGTAGAAAGGACGGGAGTGGAGGGGAGGGGATGACATTGTCCGCCGAGCCGCCGTGAAACTGAGTCACTGATACCACCCGCGAGGCAAAGGGGTTAGTTTCCCTTGACACTATGACTTGGAGGCTGGGAGGCGTAGGGGAGGAGGGGAGGGGGATGACATTGTCAGCCGAGCCGCCGTGGAGCTGAGTCACTGACACCACTCGCGAAGCAAAAGGGGTTAGTTTCTCGTGAGACTATTGCTTGGAGGCTGGGGGAATGGAGGGTAACAGGGGAGTGGGAAGAGTGAAGGGAGAACACGGGAGTGGAGGGAAAGGAAGAGCTTTGAGACGTCTCAGAACGCTTCTTCATACACGTGGAAGAGGGATGACAATGTGAGCAGCAGCAGCGGGGATGGGGTCTGCATCGAACTGGGGCATGGCTGCGTGGCCGGCCTTGCCCCGCACTGTGGCCACCATTCAGCTTGAAATGTCACCTCACCATGCAACAGTTACCTTGACACGATGTGAGGTGTACCTTGACACGATGTGAGCTTAGCAGCCCAGCCCAGGTACCTTGACACGATGTGAGCTTAGCAGCCCAGCCCAGGTACCTTGACACGATGTGAGCTTAGCAGCCCAGCCCAGGTACCTTGACACGATGTGAGCTTAGCAGCCCAGCCCAGGTACCTTGACACGATGTGAGCTTAGCAGCCCAGCCCAGGTACCTTGACACGATGTGAGCTTAGCAGCCCAGCCCAGGTACCTTGACACGATGTGAGCTTAGCAGCCCAGCCCAGGTACCTTGACACGATGTGAGCTTAGCAGCCCAGCCCAGGTACCTTGACACGATGTGAGCTTAGCAGCCCAGCCCAGGTACCTTGACACGATGTGAGCTTAGCAGCCCAGCCCAGGTACCTTGACACGATGTGAGCTTAGCAGCCCAGCCCAGGTACCTTGACACGGCGTTGAACCGCCCCAAACCCAAGAGGTGGGCCTTGTAGAGCCATCCCATCGCATTGTGTACCTACCTTGACACGATGTGAGGTGTACCTTGACACGATGTGAGGTGTACCTTGACACGATGTGAGCAGCAGCAGTGAGGATGGGGTCAGATGCGAAATGGGGCATGGCCGCATGCCCGCCCTTGCCCCACACTGTGGCCACTGCTTACCTGAATGTACTCTCATGCAACCCTTACCTTGAGACAATGTGAGCAGCGGCCAGGATGGGGTCTGCTGCGAACTGGGGCATGGCCGCGTGTCCCCCCTTGCCCCACACTGTGGCCACTGCTTACCTGGACGTATCACCTTTCACAACCCTTACCTTGACACGATGTGGGCAGCAGCGAGGATTGGGTCTGCTGCAAACTGGGGCATGGCTGCACGGCCGCCCTTGCCCCACACTGTGGCCACTGCTTACCTGGACGTATTACCTTTCACAACCCTTACCTGGACACGATGTGAGCAACAGCCAGGATCGGGTCTGCTGCAAACTGGGGCATGGCTGCACGGCCCCCCTTCCCCGAGACGGTGGAGTGCGGTGGTACATTGTCTATTGCACCTGGAGACGATGTGAGTGTACTCTCATGCAACCCTTACCTTGATACGATGTGGGCAGCAGCGAGGATCGGGTCTGCAGCGAACTGGGGCATGGCCGCATGGCCGCCCTTGCCCCACACTGTGGCGTTGAACCGGCCTGACCCTGCTAGCAGCATCCCGGGTCGACTGCCCACATAGCCTGCTGGGATCTGCACGGGAGAAAAGGAGGGAATAAAGGAAGAACGTAAGAGAGAGCAGTGAGGAGATGGGTTGCACTCTCCCCACACACTGTGACGTTGAATCGACCCGACCCTGCTAGCAGCATGCCAGGGCGACTGCCCACATAGCCTGCTGGGATCTGCACGTTAGAAAAGGAGGGAATTGAAGAAAGAAAGAAAGAGAGAGAGAGCGAGCAGTGAGGAGATGGGTTTCCCTAGCCCCACACTGTGGCGTTGAACCGGCCCGACCCCGCTAGCAGCAGCCCTGCTAGGAGCATGCCAGGCTGACTGCCCACATAGCCTGCTGGGATCTGAGAGGAAGAAAAGGAGGGAATCAAATAAAGAAAGAGAGAGCGAGCAGTGAGGAGATGGGCAGGCGTTGCCCCACACTTTGACGTTGAACCGGCCCGACCCTGCTAGCAGCATGCCGGGGCGACTGCCCACATAGCCTGCTGGGATCTGAAAGCAAAGCCACAAAGGGGAGGGAAGGGTGAATTGGGGCATGGCTGCATGTCCCCCCTTGCCCCACACTGTGGCGTTGAATCGACCCGACCCTGCTAGCAGCATGCCGGGGCGACTGCCTACGTAGCCTGCTGGGATCTGCACGGGAGAAACGAAGGGTCAAAGAAAGAGAGGGGGAGTAGCGAAGAGATGAGTTGCCCTTGTCCCACACTTTGGCGTCCAACCGACCCGACCCTGCTAGCAGCATGCCGGGGTGACTGCCCACGTAGCCTGCTGGGATATGAGAGGGAGAGATGGAAGGAGGAACCGAGTGGCGTCAAAGCAAAAGCTGCAGAAGCGGCGGCAGAAGTAGCTGCAGCGAAGGCTAAAGCGGATGCAGCAGATGTGCCCTTGATCGCCAACCCATCCACCATCCGTTTCCCCATTCCAAAACATATTTGTATGCATGCATAACACATTCATACAGATTCATACACTTTCTACCTTAGGTGAGACGTGCAGCGCGAAGGCAGCAGAGGCGCCCTTGAGAGCCCCCCCATCCACCACGCGCTTTCCCCCTGTGTATGCATTTACATACGTATACATAATCTAATCACAAAGAGTTCTACCTTAGGTGAGACGTGCAGCGCGAAGGCAGCAGAGGCGCCCTTGAGAGCGCCCCCATCCACCATGCGCTTCCCCCCTTCCACACATGTATGTGTATGAATATATATACATACACATACACATACTCGGATTACACAGCCCTTGTACCTTGGGTGAGACGTGCAGCGCGAAGGCAGCAGACGCGCCCTTGAGAGCCCCCCCATCCACCATGCGCTTTCCCCTTTCCACACAAATATGTATGCATAACACATTCATACAAATACATAGACTTCCCACCTTGGGTGAGACGTGCAGGGCGAAGGCAGCAGACGCGCCCTTGACCGCCCCCCCATCCACCATGCGCTTCCCCCCTGCCCCTCCTTCCTCTGCTGGCTGGAAGATAAGACGAACCGTGCCGCCCAAGGTACCTGGGGAAGGGGCGGCAAGAGCAACGGCAGAGGAGAGCAGAAGCAAACCATCATGCATGGAATTGGAGAGAAAGATATGAAACAAAGGAGATGAGAGACACAGCAGAGAGACAAGAGACGGATGAGATACAGCGGCCGTCGTTACAATAAGCCGTCGTTAGGGTAGGCTGTCAATAGGGTAAGCAAGGACACACACACATCACAGTCCCACATCCATAAATTCAGTCATACTGGCCTGACAATCTGCAAAAATAACACTGTCTGTCCGAGCACGTGCGATTCAGACGCGGACTCAACACATTCTTCCCACAAAAAGGAAAAGTTTTTTCGTACCTGCCCGGAAGCGCTCCTGGAGAATTCGGGCAGCGGCGAGGAGCATGGCGGTGTGGGCGTCGTGGCCGCATGCGTGCATGGCACCGGGATGGCGCGACTTGAAGGGCACGTCCGTCTCCTCTGTGATTGGTAGAGCATCCATGTCGGCTCGCAGAGCCACTATCGGGCCTTCACCTGTACCGATGGTTGCTACCACACCTGGAGAATTGGAAGGAGGCCATAGAGCAGGGAGTGGGAGATGGAGAGGGGAGAGGAAGAGGGAGAGGGGAGAGGAAGAGGGAGAGGGGAGAGGGAGGGGGAGAGAGAAAGCGGGGGGAAAGTGGGTTCACATGAGGGGGAGAGGGGGAGCATGGAGGTGTGGCGTCGTGGCCGCATTCGTGCATGGCACCAGGATGGCGCGACTTGAATGGCACGTCCGTCTCTTCCGTGATGGGTAGCACGTCCATGTCCGCTCGCAGTGCCACTATTGGCTCGGCTCCTGTACCAATCGTTGCAACCACGCCTGGGATAAACAGAAAGGCATAGGGTCGGGTGGTACAAAGAGTTAAAGCGCAAGGAGCAGCATGGCGGGCGGTGTGGGCGTCGTGGTTGCATGCGTGCATGACACCGGGATGGCGCGACTTGAAGGGCACGTCCGTCTCCTCCGTGATAGGAAGGGCATCCATGTCGGCCCGCAGTGCCACTATGGGACCTTCGCCTGTGCCAATGGTGGCTACCACACCTGGGGTGGGCAGGGGGGAGGGGCAGAGGGAGGAACAGAGAGTTGAACGGCATGTCTGTTTCCTCTGTGATGGGCGGCGCGACCATGTCGGCTCAAAGCGCCACTATGGGACCTTCCCCTGTGCCGATGGTTGCTACCACACCTGGAGAACGGGAAGGAGGGAGGGGCAGAGGGAGGAACTGAGAGTTGAACGGCATGTCTGTTTCCTCTGTGATGGGCGGCGCGACCATGTCGGCTCGGGGCGCCACTATGGGTGGTGCCCCAGTTCCGATGCTTGCTAGCACGCCTGGAATGGAATGTACGGGAGAGGGGGAACATGGACTTGAACAGCATGTCCGTCTCCTCTGTGGTGGGCAGCGGGTCCATAGCGGCCCGAAGTGTCACAATGGGCTCTTCTCCACTGCCGATCGTTGCTGCCACACCTCGAATGGAACGTACAGGCAGGTGGCGAGAAGCGGGGGGGAGCGGGAAAATGAACGGCATGTCTGTCTGCTCTGTGATGGGCAGCGCGGCGCGGCCAAGTCAGCTCCGGCAAAGTAGGGACGGAGCAGTATTTCCATTCCATGATGTCTGTTTTCTGCACCATGGCGCGATTTTTGAGTCGACTCAAAATTCTGCACCATGGCGCTCGCCCTAAACTCAAACATACCCGTTATTAGACTCAAAGCATACCCGTTGTCAGCACCACCTCACCTGTGGTTCCTGCGAAGTTGGCCTGGAACGGTATTCCCAAGGACGCCAATGTCTCCTGCACCATGGCGCTCGCTCAAACAAAAACTTTCTGCTGTAAGCTGAAGAAAGTACCCGTTATAAGCACCATCTCACGCTCACCCGTGGTTCCTGCGAAGTTGGCCTGGAACGGTATTCCCAAGGACGCCAGCGTCTCCTGCACCATGGCGCTCGCTCGAACTAAAACTTTCTGCTGTAAGCTGAAGAAAGTACCCGTTATAAGCACCATCTCACCCGTGGTTCCTGCGAAGTTGGCCTGGAACGGTATTCCCAAGGACGCCAGCGTCTCCTGAACCATGGCGCTCGTCCGGAATTCGCGGAACATGAGCTCTGGAATCTCGTGGAGCGCTCTCCTCAGACCCAGCACCATGGCCAATCCGTTGCTGCCACGTGCCTCTTCCAGAATCGCCTGGAACGTCACCCCGCCGCTGGCTGACACGTGTACTGGGGCGAGCAGGAGGACGAGGAGGAGGAAGAGATGGAATAGGAGGAGTTGGAGGTAGGAGCGCGGAGGAGGAGCCATGGCGGACCTGCAAGAAGCAACATGATATAACGTAAAATTAGTTGGAAAAAAAAAAAACACGACTCGTCTGAAACCCGAAAGAAACTCAGACTGAATTCGGCGATAAGAGGTGCATGCTAGATATCCGCTGGATTTGAGTCGACTCAAAAGCTGGATTTCGAAAGAAATGCGGAAAGAACCAGACGAGAGTGTCGACATCATTTTTTCGTGCAGAGGCAACTGATACGGATCTAGGAACTTCCTATCTGAAATAATCTGCTAGCAAGATGTTGCAAGATGTTGCAAGATGAAAGAATATTTGGCAAGATACGGCTCTCGTAGCCGTTTTACGGGAAAGACGACGGGATTGTAACGAGAGCCAGACTGTAACGAGAACGACTGGATCAGGGCTCCACGCAGCGCGCTATCTACGATTAATCTTCTAATGTAGCCCTTACGAGGCGCGTAGCTGTCACAGACACTAAACTGAAGTCGACATAAACGGAAACCAACCTCGTCGTCTTCACGGGTTTCGACGACCTAGAGCGAACAAGGAAGTCAGTCTCTCGCAGGAACGAATGACAGGCCGTGAAACGATTTCTTCACCCGATGCAGAGAGGAAAGATGCTTGTCAGCGCATAAACTCGCGCGTGCACAAATCAAAGGGGTGAGTCAAATCATCAACACATTATACCACGCTCATATGTAGCTGGAACGCACTAAAACGTTTGAAACCCTTAGAAAGCTAAAATCTGAAGGCGCGAATACAATGACCGGCCTGGAAGCATAGAATTGAGCGCAGGAGACAAGCGCATGACCTTCCAAAAAGGTCGCCGATGCCGGGGATCGAACCCGGATCTTCCGCGTGACAGGCGGAGATACTGACCATTATACTACATCGACACGTTTAACAGTTTTTACATTCCTTATTAATAAATTTATGTTGTCATGCCAGCCATGCCTTGCCATGGTGATTGAAGAGAGGCCCGGAATGCGGCCTGATGAATGAAGCAAGCCTTCATACCTGCATCAAAACAAGCCTTCCCCATCTCTCCTCCCCTCCCCTTCCTCCAACATCCTCGCTCTTGGTTCTCGCAACACCGTCATGCGTCACCCGCCATCACATACATATCAATGACGCATGACGGTGTTGCGAGAAAACATGTACATGTCCTTCTTTGCTTCTTGCTGCTACCGACATGGCAGGCACTCACCTCACCACCACACACACACTGCCAGCTACCACCTCAGGTGGAGGGAGGGAGGAGGGATGTGTGTGTGGCGCCGTGTGAATTGTCACAGCGGCAGGTACAGTAGAAAATCACCGACCGAAAACCAATGACCGACTCGGGTACAAGGAATGTTCACCAACTACACCCCGATATCATCATATTTTAACCGTACTGAACCGCATATAAATTGGGTCGATTGGCGACGAATCGTCGCGAAGCAGCTCAAACCAGTCGTGGGAGGCGTTTGTTTGCCTCGCCTTGCCTTCCTCAACACGGGCGGTAGAACACTGTACAGTGACCTACTCACCCATTTCCACTCCTCTGAACCGTAGTTTGTATTACTCAAAACGTACTATACCTTACCTGTCGGTCCCACCTGTCTCAGAAACACCCAGCCCAACGACTTTTGCCGGCCAAAAGCAAGAGGGACCTCCTGAACTGACGTCCGACTCCTAGCACAAACCCAGGTGTTATACCTTTGCCCAGGCGACTCATAGCACACATCAAGGCGAGTCCTCCTGAGTAGAACGAATACAGTACCGTGGATCATTATCAGGAGTACATACTTCTCGCCTGTCGCCTCGCTTGCCGGTCTTAACTCCAATTAGTCTTCTCGAGGCGTCTCGAGATTCGCGTTCTGGCCTCGCCTGAGCCGCAGTAATCATATACTCTGTGAGGAATACTCGCTACTAACTACCGTACGCACGCGCCACGGTCGGACGGAATCCATCTCTGCGTCATTCTCCGCGTTCCGCGTCATCCCCCGCGTCATTCTCCGCGTTCCGCGTCATCCCCCGCGTCATTCTCCGCAGCAATCATCGCGTCATTCCCCGCGTCATCTCTCCCGTCGCGTAGTGCCGGTCTCCGCCACTCTTTCCCGAGTCGCGCCATCTGCACCTGAGTCGTAGCACCGTCCGTCCCGCCGTCAGCTCGCTCACTCGACCCCACAATAGTCTCCGCGCGTCATCTCTCACCATCGCGTAGTACCGATTTCCGCCGCAGAAACACCAGCCGTTACCAGTTTGCCAGAAAACTCCTCGCTCGCTCCCACCTCGCGCGGCTCGCTCGCGACCACTTTTACTAGTCTCCCTGCGACAAGCCGACTGCCTCGTTCTGCAGATCTCCGCCAGTTCCGCCAATTCCGCCGTTCCGCCCGTTCCGCCAGTACCGCAAGTTCCGCGAATTCCGTAACTTCCGCCAGTTCCGCCATCGCGCGCGTCATGCACGGGCGGCGGCTTCAGCCGGCGCTACGCTCTCCCCGCGTCCTCCAATTACGACACGTCTGCACGGCCGCTGCGCCGCTCGTTTCGCTCGTTTTGCTAGCACTCGCGTCGTTCGGGGTATTCGGATCGGTGCAAGTCGGTGCTACGCCGTTCAGCGTGTATGACTCGTACCAGCCGCCGTGCCCCTTCCTGCCCGACCCTCCCCCGCAAGGTACAGCCGCCCTTTTCCCCCTGTCAAAGTCGCCGCTCTTGGTAGGAACCTCCTCAAGGTACGACCCTCCCCCGCAAGGTACAGCCGCCCTCTTTCCCCTTTCAAAGTCGCCGCTCTTGGTAGGAACCTCCCCTCTTCCCACCCCCCCCCCCCCCCGGTCCTCCAATGTGCGACCCTCCCCCGGCAATCGTTCCCCCCTCCAAATTACGACCCTCCCCCTCAAGGTAAGGCCCTCCCCCGCAAGGTACGACCCTCCCCCGCAAGGTACGGCCGCCGTTTTCCCCCTTTCAGAGTCGCTGCTCTTGGTAGGAACCTCCCCTCGTCCTCCCGCAATGTGCGACCCTCTACCGGCCATCGTTTCCATCGTCATCCGCACGTCCCTCCTTTCCCTCCATCCACTCCCTCCTCCTCCCTCCCTTCCCTTCCCTTCCTTCCTCCCCTCTTGATTGAAGAAGTGTTTTGCGACGTCTCAAAACACCTCTACTGGCCATCGTTTCCATCGTCATCCACACGTCCCTCCTTTCCCTCCACTCCCTCCTCCTCCCTCCCTTCCCTTCCTTCCTCCCCTCTCCTTTCCTACCCTCCACCTTTTCCCTCCTTCCCTCCTCCCCTCTCCCGCTCTGACTTTTCTACCCCTTTTTCTCCTTTTCTTGCCAGGCTGGAAGCGCTGGAGCGACCCTGCCACGTGGACCAATAGTGGCAGCTCCGTGATTCCCGGAGTGAAGGCCACGGGGGGCGAGTGGGCGGATGTGACTATACCGTGCGGGACGGCCGTGCTGCTGGACGTGCCTCTAGTGAGCCTCAACAGGCTCATAGTGAAGGGATGGCTCAGGTACGGTGCTGCATGCAAGTGTATGTGTGCGTGTATGTGTGCGTGTATGTGTGCATGCGTGTGTGTGCTTCTGGATGTGCCTCTAGTGAGCCTCAACAGGCTCGTGATTAAGGATGGCTCAGGTATGGTTTATATGTGTGTGCATGCTTATAGATAGATGTGTACATATGTGCATAGATGTGTATATGCGTGTGCTGCTGGACGTGCCTCTAGTGAGCCTCAACAGGATCGTGATCAAGGGATGGTTCAGGTATGGCTCAAGAGAGAGATGCATACGTCGTTCGGTTGTGCCTTATGCCTGGTGCCGTGTCATGTCGTGCTAGTCATCTGCCTGTCTGTGTGTGCGGGACGACTTTTGAGTCGACTCAAAAGTCACCTCGTTACCATGGCACACGACACCGTGTCATGTCGTGCGAGTCATCTGCCGGTCTGTGTGTGCGGGACGGCCGTGCGGCTGGATGTGCCTCTAGTGAGCCTCAACAGGCTCGTGATCAAGGGATGGCTCAGGTATGGTGCTCCCCTCCCCTTCCTGCTCGGTTCTTTCTTCCCCTGTGCGTGTGTGCATGCCACCAGGGTCCAGGACTCTCCATCCCTTCCAAGGTTGGAGGTGCAAGCAGCCTTCATCATAGTTCAAGGCCGCCTCTCCGCCGGATCCTCCTCAACGCCCTTCCCCTTCTCCCTCCCTCCACTTGTACTGAACCAGGGTCCAGGACTCACCATCCCTTCCAAGAGTGGAGGTGCAAGCAGCCTTCATCATCGTTCAAGGCCGCCTCTCTGCCGGATCCACTGCAACGCCCTTCCCTTCTCTGTGCATGCACACCCATTTCCTTCCCCCACACCAACAGGGTTCAGGATTCCCCCTCCCTCCCAACCATCGAGGTGCAAGCAGCCTTCATCATCGTTCAAGGCCGCCTCTCTGCCGGATCCACTGCAACGCCCTTCCCTTCTCTGTGCATGCACACCCATTTCCTTCCCCCACACCAACAGGGTTCAGGATTCCCCCTCCCTCCCAACCATCGAGGTGCAAGCAGCCTTCATCATCGTTCAAGGCCGCCTCTCTGCCGGATCCACTGCAACGCCCTTCCCTTCTCTGTGCATGCACACCCATTTCCTTCCCCCACACCAACAGGGTTCAGGATTCCCCCTCCCTCCCAACCATCGAGGTGCAAGCAGCCTTCATCATCGTTCAAGGCCGCCTCTCCGCCGGCACCACTGCAACGCCCTTCAGCCGCCTCGCTCTCTTCACCCTCCTCCCCTCCAAATCGCGAGCCAACTTCACTCTCACCGACCTTGCTCCAGCCGATCCCTTGAACCCAAGGAACCTGGGTCACAAAGCCTTTATCGTGGTACGTTGCTCTCGTCCTCCCTTCTTTATCATCTCTTCTCTCCCTCCCCTGTGCTGCAAACTACTCCCTCACCGACCTTGCTCCAGCCGATCCGCTAAACCCGAGGAACCTGGGTCACAAGGCTTTTATCATGGTACGTTGCTTGCTCTCCTCTCTTCCTCCCCCTCTGCTGCCTTTGAGTCGACTCAAAAACGGCAACAGCATCTGCTCGCCTTTGAGTCGACTCAAAAACGGCAACAGCATCTGCTCGCTTTTGAGTCGACTCAAAAACGGCAACAGCATCTGCTCGCTTTTGAGTCGACTCAAAAACGGCAACAGCATCTGCTTGCTCACTGCCCCATCTTCCCTTCTCTGCCTCCTCCCCCTCTACTTTTGAGTCGACTCAAAAGTCAACTCACTGCCCCATCTTCCCTTCTCTACCTCCTCCCCCTCTACTTTTGAGTCGACTCAAAAGTCAACTCACTGCCCCATCTTCCCTTCTCTGCCTCCTCCCCCTCTACTCCACCAATCAGGTGGGAGGTGCAGTGGACTTGCACGGCATGCCCCGCTCCTCCTCTGCTCCTGCGTGGGTGCGCCTGGCAAGGACAGTGGCTCCCGGGGATAAGTTTGTGGCGCTGGACGGACGGCGATGTTACTCAGTGGCCTGTACTCGTCTCTCGCTGTCCTCTGTCCTTGGGCATTCCTGTTCCCGCTCCCACACTGTTCCTGGTGCTGGACGGCGATGTTACTCAGCGGCCTGTATCTATTCCTCTCCCCCCTCCATCCCTCCAATCCAACCAGGTGGGAGGTGCAGTGGACTTGCACGGCATGCCCCGCTCCTCCTCTGCCCCTGCGTGGGTGCGCCTGGCAAGGACAGTGGCACCCGGGGATAAGTTTGTGGTGGTGGATGGCGATGTCACTCAGTGGCCTGTACTTGTCTCTCTCTGTCCCCTGTCCTCTGTCCTCTGTTTTCTGTTCTCTGCATCCCTGTCCCCATGTGGGAACCAGGTGGGAGGCGCAGTGGACCTACATGGCATGCCCCGCTCCTCCTCTGCTCCTGCGTGGGTGCGCCTGGCAAGGACAGTGGCACCCGGGGATAAGTTTGTGGTGGTGGATGGTGATGTCACTCAGTGGCCGGTCGGCGGCACTGTAGCAGTTGCGTCCACTAGTGCGAATATGAACGAGGCCGAGACCGGGGTGATTACTTATGGTGAGTAGGATTGTAGCGAGTGGGATAGTAGCGAGTGTGTGTCATTTAGTGGGCGTGATTATAGCAAGTGTGGTTTTAGCAAGTGTGCTTATAGTTGTGTCCACTAGTGCAAACATGAGCGAGGGGGAGACGGGTGCGATTGTAGCGAGGTAATGAGCATGATTATATTGAAGTAGTGAGAGTGATTCTTCCCATTTATGCGGTGGTCCCAGTGTCTACATTCTGGCAGGGCCCCACTCTTTTAAATTGTTTTTCCTCCATTTTCCTCCCCCCTTTACAATCACAGTTGCTCCCATGCCTTCGGGGGGGGGGTTCTATGTTGGATTGGCCAAGGCTCTTAGGTTCCGCCATGAGGGTAGTCTTCAAGGCACCCCTGATGGAGTCGGGGGTACGGTGGATATTCGAGGGGAAGTTGCCCTTTTGGACCGGAATATCATCATCCGGGGGTTCAAGGAGAAAGCACCCTACGACACAGATGGTAAGCAAGTTTTCTCAAGTAAGCGGTTCTCTTCTCGAGCATTGATGGATTCTCTAGTATTGACAAGCTTTAAAGCTTTCTTCCCTGCTTTGTTTGTTTTGACTGAATCGTTTTTTAGTGAACTGTGAACCTTTAAAAGACAAGAACACCTGTGAGACGTCCGCTGCATTTGATCCCAATCCCTCCCTTCCCCCCCTTTTTTTACAGGCGGTCACTTCATGGTGTTTATAACACGCACACCACAATTCATAGAGGGGATTCAGTTCCTGGGCCTGGGCAACAAGGGCACGCTGCTGGGGCGTGGCACTCACTTCTCTTCCTTTGTGCCCCGTTAACATTCCCTCCTGCATCCCCGTCACTTCATGGTGTTTCTAACGCGCACACCACAATTCATCGAGGGGGTTCAGTTCCTGGGCCTGGGCAACCAATGCGTGCTGTGTTGGGCCGCTTTTGAGAATTCTCAAAAGTCGTGCACTCACTTCCCTCCTCCTCTGCTCCCTTTCTTCTCCTTTACCTTTCCCTCCTGCATCCCCTTTACAGGAGGTCACTTCATGGTGTTTATGACGAAAACGCCGCAGTTCATTGAGGGAGTGCAATTCCTGGGCCTGGGCAACCAAGGCGTGTTGGGGCGCTACCCGCTGCACTTCCATATCTGTGGAGACAACAACCAGGCGCACGTGGTTAGGAAGAACGTGATTGCAGCGAGCCAGCAGGTACGAGGTTTGCATGTAGGGCTTGGCATGGCATCCACCTGCTGGGTTGTTGTTGTTGTGGGTCTGCCTGGGCAACCAGGGCGTGCTTGGGCGCTACCCGCTGCACTTCCACATCTGTGGGAAAGACAACTAGGCGCACGTGGTTAGGAAGAACGTGATTGCAGCGAGCAACCAGGTTTGATGATTGAAGGGATGATAGGATGGGATGGGTGTATGAATGTATTGATGCTACCCCCTGCATGCATTTCCACATCTGTGGCGACAACAACCAGGCGCACGTGGTCAGGAAGAACGTGATTGCGGCGAGCAACCAGATACGCTATGAAAGCCTAGTTCACGGATTACCAGCAGGGATATGCCAGCAGGGGATCCCCTATGCCCCTTCCCTTCCACTAATTTCCTTCGAAGCGTTGTGTGGTTGTCCATGCCACCTCGGACCTGACGATCGAAAGAGAACGTGACGTATGAGACCAAGGGGTACTGCTGCTTGACTCTTCCCTACAGGGGTCAAGGGTTTTTTTTGAGAATTCTAGAACCCTACAGGGGTAAAAAAAACCCTACAGCATCGAGAACGTGACGTATGAGACCAAGGCGCACTGCTGCTTGACTCTTCCCCCCTCCTATCCCTGTCGTCTCCCTCCCCTGCCGCTCTCTTGCCTGCTGTTTACAGCGCTGTGTGGTCATCCATGCCACCTCGGATGTGACTATAGAGGAGAACGTGCCTTGGCGTATGAGACCTAGGGGCTCTGCTTCGTGTCCCCCACTCTCAACCTGTGCTTGCGTTGAGAGTGGCCCAGGTTGATCAACAGGCGTATGAGACCTAGGGGCTCTGCTTCGTGTCCCCCACTCTCAACCTGTGCTTGCGTTGAGAGTGGCCCAGGTTGATCAACAGGCGTATGAGACCTAGGGGCTCTGCTTCGTGTCCCACTTGCTCCCTTACTCCTGCTGATCTTATCCCTCGCCTGCTCCTTTGCAGCGCTGTGTGGTCATCCACGCCACCTCGGATCTGACGATCGAGGAGAATGTGGCGTTTGAAACCAAGGGCCATTGCTTCATAACGGAGGAGGGCAGCGAGTACAACAACGTGTTCAAACGCAACCTGGGAATCAACATCCGCGGAGGTGAGATGCGTTTGAGAGGAGTGAGGCGTGGTTGAGAGGAGTGAGGTGTGGTTGAGAGGAGTGAGGGGTGGTTGAGACGAAGGGGAACTGCTTGCTTTATCATGGAGGAGGGCAGCGAGTACAACAGCGTGTTCAAACGCAACCTGGGAATCAACATTCGCGGAGGTGAGGGGTGGAGGGACTGGCTGGCTGGGCTCACGCACGCAGCTCGCTGAGCTATGTCTGGATCTCGCGTGGTGGGGTTGGCTGGCTGGGTGACTTTTGAGTCGACTCAAAAGTCACCTCGTTACAATGGCACACGACACTTTTGAGTCGACTCAAAAGTCACCTCGTTACAATGGCACACGGCACTTTTGAGTCGACTCAAAAGTCACCTCACGCACGCAGCTCGCTGAGCTATGTCTGGATCTCGCGTGGTGGGGCTGGCTGGCTGGCTGGCTGGGATCACGACGAGTGTAATGGGGAGAGATGGAAGGTGGGAAGGTGGGCTGTATGAGAGCAAGCAAGGGGCCTTGCTTTCTTCCTGACAGAGGAGAGCAGCGGGTATGACAACGTGCTTGCATGCAAGGAAATTCCCCCTGAAACTTCCGACAGACTGGACAGGCAGACGGACAACGAGGCCACCGCCTTCTGGATGGCCAGCCCTGGAATCATCCTTGCCTCCCCCACTTCCCCCCCTCCCACTCCACCAGTGCGCAAGGTGATCCCCCCTGAGTCTAGTGATCGTCTGGACAGGCAGACGGACAACCAGGCTACCACCTTTCGGATGGCCAGCCCTTACTCTCTCCTTCATCTCCCCCTACTCTCACCGCTCCTGCCCCTCATCCCCCTCCACCCCACCAGTGCGCAAGGTGATCCCCCCTGAGTCTAGTGATCGTCTGGACAGGCAGACGGACAACCAGGCTACCACCTTCTGGATGGCCAGCCCTCGCAACGACCTGATCGGGAACGTGGCGGCTGGATGTGACAATACCGGGTGGGTGATTTGTGACTGTAATGGGTAGGGTGAGTGGGTGTAACTGTATAGGGAGACAGGCTGACTGGAAGAAAGGCAGACGGACAACCAGGCCACCACCACCACCAGTGCGCAAGGTGATTCACCACAGGCGAGGGACCTTCTGGTTGGCCGGCCCTCGCAACGATACGAGCTGGTTTTTGAGAATTCTCAAAAACCACAGGCGAGGGACTTTCTGGTTGGCCAGCCCTCGAAAAGGCCACCGCTTTCTGGTTGGCCGGCCCTCGCAACGACTTGATTGGCAACGTGGCGGCTGGATGTGACAACACAGGGTGGGGTGGGTGTGACGATACAGGGTGGGTGAGAATTGTGACTGTATGAGAGGAGAGGATGCATTTGACGACACAGAGTGGGTGGGTGGGTGTGACATTACATGGTTGGAGTGACAAAACAGGGTGGTTGATGTGTGACTACATGAAATTCCAGGTGTATCAATACAGTGTGAGTGCTTTTTGAGTCTGTGAGAGCGTAGATGTGACAATACAGGGTTGTGTGACATTATAGGGTGTGTGTGTGTGTGTCAGTAGTAGTGCGCTTAGGACCTCCCTCCTCCAAGCATCCAATTGCCTTTCGTATTTCTGACGTGCCATTCAATGATTCAACTCCTCCCCCTGCCCTTCCCGTCCCAACCACCGTCCGTCCTCTCCCCACCACCTTCTGGTACGAGATGCTGGCGCGCATGAGGGGGGCGTCCAAGACGCTTTGAGGTGCCTGCCATACAATCCCTCCCCCTGCCCCTCCCTTCCCCCAACGCCTCTCCCCATCTCCCCACCAGCTTCTGGTACGAGATGCTGGCGCGCATGAGAGGGGAGCGTCCAAGAGGCTTGATCTGGGCGACACCCCCATGCCGTTCTCTCCCCTATCCACGCCCTATCCCTCCCCATCTCCCCTCCATCTCCCCACGGTCCCCACCACCTTCTGCTACGAGATGCTGGCGCGCATGAGAGGGGAGCGTCCAAGAGGCTTGATCTGGGCGACACCCCCATGCCGTTCTTTGACTCATCTCATACGCCCCATCTCCCTCTCTCTCGCCCTTATTCGTACCCCAACCTCTCCCCAACTCACCAGCTACTGGTACGAGATGCTCGCTAGAATGAGGGGAGCGTCCAAGAGGCTTGACCTGGGCGACACCCCCATGCCCTTCTTTGACTCGTTCGGCAAGTTTGACGGCAACGTGGCTCATTCTTGCAAGGCTGGGGTTCGCATGTATCCCCATGGGAACCGTCCCCCCAAGGAGGTGAGTGCGGTTGAATGCGGTTCACTGCATGTAAGGCAGGCGGGTGGGTGACACCCCCATGCCCTTCTTTGTCTCGTTCGGCAAGTTTGACAGCGACGTGGCTCACTCCTGAAAGGCGGGGGGGGTGTGCATGTATCCCAATGAGAACCGACCCCCCAAGGAGGTGAGTGTGGTGTGATTTGGTACGGTCTAGTGTGGCGGATTGCAATCGGCTGCGGTGCAGTGCGGTTGGATATGGTTCACTTGCCTGAGTAAAACTGGCGGTTTGACAGCAACGTGGCTCACTCCTGCAAGGCGGGCGTTTGCATGTATCCCCATGGGAATCGACCCCCCAAGGAGGTGAGTGGCGATGAGGTGTGATGTAGTGCGGTGCCATGCAATGGGATGCTGTGCGATGGGATACACTCTCTCCTCCTCACACTCCTCCCATCCTCCATCTCCCTCTTTCCCCACCTCCAACCAACCCTCACAAACCTTATCCGCTACCTGCTTGATCGCTACAGCAGGCTCGGGTATGGCGATGGTTCGTTGTCCTAATTCCCTCCTTTCCTCACTCCTCTCCTCTTCTCTCCCTGTTCTCCGCTTCTTCTCGCCTCCCCCCCTCGCCCACCCGCATCTTGCCTGCCCCCCTAACAGGCCGTTTTCACCCACCTGCTCGTTTACCAAAGCCGACTTGTGTATGTCTCTTCCTGTTGTGTTGATTTTTGAGGCGCCTCAAAACTCCCCCTCTCGCCCACCCGCGTCCTGCCTGCCCCCCTAACAGGCCGTTTTCACCAACCTGCTTGTTTACCAAAGCCGACTTGGGTACGTCTCTTCCTGTTGTGTTGAAACTTTTTTGTTAAATCTAAAAAAAAAAACCGATTCAGCCAGCTCGGGTATGCCTCTTCTTGTCCTTGCTCCTCTCTCTCTCCCTTTTCGTTGCCACGCTCTGCTTCCCTCTACTCCCACTGCTTCCATTTTCGTCCCCAATCACACCACTTCGACTCTTGTTTATTCCCCTTGCCGCACTACTCCCCATCCCACCTCACCATACTCAACCCCACCGCACCACATTCTACCTTGCAGAGTTCTCTTCCATCGCGACAGGGACACCACCGTTTGGGACTCGGCGTTTGTCAACGTGGCGGTGGGCATCTTGTTGCTCAGGCTTTCCATCCTACACTGACTCACCACACCCTATCCCACTCCACCCCGCCCCACCGCACTCCACCCCATCCGATCCCACCCAATCCTCGCAGCATTCTTCCATCGCGCCAGGGACACTACTGTCCGCGACTCGGCGTTTGTCAACGTGGCGGTGGGCATTTTGTTGCTCACTCCTTCCTTCCATCTTTCTCCATTTCAACCCCCTCCACCTCACTTCCCCCCACTCCACCCCACCCCACCCCAACCCCACCGCACTCCACTGCACTCCAGCATTCTCTTCCATCGTGCCAGGGACACCACGGTCCGCGACTCGGCGTTTGTCGACGTGGCGGTGGGAATTTTGTTGCTCAATCTCACTCTGTTTTGCCTCTTTACACCCTGCTCCACCCCTTCCGATCCCACCCAATCCTCGCAGCATCCTCTTCCATCGCTCCAGGGACACCACCGTCCGGAACTCGGCGTTTGTTGACGTGGCGGTGGGCATCGGCAGCGATGTGAATGTGGAGATCAAAGTGCAGAGCTCGAGATTTGTCGGCCGTACACAAGCATGCGCGTAAGTTGACACCTCCTTACACATGTAAGACCTGCCTGCCTGCCAGCATGCCGTCTGTCTGCAGCAGCAGTGCGTGTGTCAGTGTGGTATCATCTGAACATGCTAGGTCTGCCAGCATGCCATCTGCAGCAGCAGCAGCAGCAGCACGTATGTCGACGTGGCGGTGGGCATCGGCAGCGACGTGAACGTGGGATATCAAAGTGCAGAACTCACGATTCGTCGGGCGCACCCAGGCATGCGCGTGAGTGTCTATTGGATTACGTGCAAACGTAGGCGTCGTACCGGTTACACGGTAATCAACAGCTAGCAATGTTTTACATGGGATCGGCAGCGATGTGAATGTGGACATCAAAGTGCAGAACTCGCGATTCGTGGGGCGCACCCAGGCTTGCGCGTGAGTGTTAGTTGGTAGCTCCGCACCACCTGCCTAGAATCATGCGCACCCAGGCTTGCGCGTGAGTGTTAGTTGGTAGCTCCGCACCACCTGCCTAGAATCAGGCGCACCCAGGCTTGCGCGTGAGTGACTATTGCAATATGTGCAAAAGCAAACAGTCAGCCAATCACATCTCTTCCCACCTATGCTCTTCCTAGTCCCTGCACCAGTTCTTGATGCTCGTATCAAGCAGTCCCCCCCGCCCGCTTGTGCTTCTTGCAGCGAGGTTGTTTTTGAGACGTCTCAAAAACAACCTACTCCCTGCACCAGTTCTTGATGCTTGTATCAAGCAGTTCTCCCCGCTTGTGCTTCTTGCCCTCTGCTCCTCTCACCCTGCCTTCCCCCACAGGTCACAAGCCAAAACAGCCTCTGGAGCTGCATCAACCAAGGCGGTTTCTGCAACAGTCCTTGACTTGAGTCTTGACCAATAACTCTCTCGCGTGCCTGCATTTACCTCTTGCCCTCTGCTCTTCCACCCTGCCTCCCCCCACAGGTCACCAGCCAAAGCAGCCTCCAGAGGAGCCGTGTCAACCAAGGCCCTTTTTGCAGCTTCTGCAGCTGGTACAAGCACCGGTGCGGGCGCCTCTATTTTCCCCAACCAGCCAACTGTCTCAGCTGCTGCTGCCGCTGCTGCTCAGGAGTCCCTCTCATCCCAGCTGCTTCGGTCGTATCTCAACCCAGGAGGCCTTGTGACTGCAAGCGCAGCGTCTACTAACGAGGATGGTTTCAACCAGGGAAGCAGCATCAGGGGCAGTAAGAGTATCACCACCACTGCATCTGCCACCACTGCTACCACTACTGCTACCACCACCACTGCCAACAGCCTTTTCTCCATCCAGAACCTTCCAACCGAAAGCGCATCTACCGCCCTCGCTTCTTCAACCCTTGACTCTTCCACCCAAGGCAATCCTTCCAATCCTCCCACCGACGGCTATCCCACTCCCATCGCCACCAACCCCACTTCAAACCCCTCAACCGTTTCAGACAGCCCCGAAACCCCTCTCGACCCCTCATCTGACCCCTTGTTTGCAAAAGAGCTGGATTTCTGGCAAGATGAGGAGGTAGCTGCTATATTCTCCTCTCTTTCCCGAGCCTCGCTGCCCCGGCTTCCCAAGGCTACCCTCTCTCGCATCGCACAGCTTCGGAACAGGCTCGGGCTGTCTAGGTTCGGGCACAGGCTCGGGAAGGAGCTTGGGAACAAGCTCGGGAAGTGGCTCAGAGGTTCGGCAGGGGGTGGTAACCAGAGCGGCGTCGAGTTGAACAGTGTTGCGAGCGTGCGGGCGGCGGTTGTGTCTTTTAGGTTCGGGACGTTTGAGTCGCCGGTCGGGATTGCGCTGAGTCAGCAGCATTGGATGGACCCTTCTGGCAGTGTCAAGATCTCTGGGTGCTCGTAAGTGGAGTGAAATGAAGAATGAGTTGAATGAACAGTTGAACAGTAAGAATGAGTTGAACAGTATTGTATCGAGTCAGCAGCATTGGATGGACCCTTCTGGCAGCGTCAAGATCTCTGGGTGCTCGTAAGTGGAGTGGAGAGAAGAATGAGTTGAATGAGGTGGTTTTTGAGGCGCCTCAAAAACCACCTTAATGAGTTGAAAGAACAGTTGTACAATTGCGCTTAGAGCGTTTGCGTTGTATTGTATTGAGTCAGCAGCATTGGATGGACCCAGCTGGCAGCGTCAAGATCTCAGGATGCTCGTAAGTGGCAAATGAGCTGAATGCCAGGCTGCCATCGTGCAACCCTGTGCAATGATGCCAGAATGAATGATGCGCCATGTGCAACCCTGCCAGCCTGCCATCGTGCTTCACTCCTCTCACTCCTCCCCTCGCCTCCCACCCTCCTCCTCCTCTCCCCCTCTTCCCCTTCCCCCACTCCCCTCCACCCCCTCCCCTCCCCTCCCTCTCCTTCCCTCCCCTCCCCTCCCTCTCCTCTCCTCCCTTCCCCTCTCTCTTCTTCCCTCTCTACATGCAAACCGGCTAGCCCTGCCATTGTGGCACAAGCAACCGTCTTTGGTTTTTTCTGACTGTAACTATCCACTCCTCTCTCGTCTCCTCCCTCCCTCCTCTCCTCGCCTCCTCCAATCAGCTTCACGCAGTATGCCACGTGCAACCCCGCCAGCCCTGCCATCGTGCTGCTGTGCTCTCACTGCTGCTTGTCGGACTAAAGCCCATTTATCTTTCCCCTCTACTCCCCTCCCACTCCTCCCCCAGCTTCACCCAGTACGCGACGTGCAACCCCGCTATCCCTGCCATTGTGCCACAAGCAACCGTCTTTGGTTTTTTCTGACTGGAACTATCCACTCCTCTCGCCTCTCCTCCCTCCCTCCCTCCTCTCCTCGCCTCCTCCAATCAGCTTCACGCAGTATGCCACGTGCAACCCCGCCAGCCCTGCCATTGTGCTGCAGTGCTCTCACTGCTGTTTCTCATTGCCCATCCCCCTCCTCCCCCTCCCTCCCCCTACCCTCCCCTCTTCCTCCCCTCCTCCCCTTATCAGCTTCACCCAGTACGCCACATGCAACCCCGCCAGCCCTGCCATCGTGCTGCAGTGCTCTCACTGCTCCTTGTCGTTGCCCCTTGCCTCCCCCCTCCTCCCCTCAGCTTCACCCAGTACGCTACATGCAACCCCGCCAGCCCTGCCATCGTGGCGCAAGCAACCGTCTTTGGAGGCTTCTGGGACACGTCCACCGCCACTCAGGTGCGCTCGCTTGCTCTCTCGCTCGCTCTCAATCCCATCTGTGACTGTTTGCGAGACACGCTTTAAGCAGTCTGCCGCAAGGCTTCTGGGACACGTCCACCGCCACTCAGGTGCGCTCGCTCAATGGTAATGTGTGTATGTATACCCACATGGTGCTGCAAGCAACCGTCTTTGGAGGCTTCTGGGACACGTCCACCGCCACTCAGGTGCGCTCGCTTGCTCTCTCGCTCGCTCTCAATCCCATCTGTGGGCGTTTCCTACCTGAGTGGACGCTTAAAGTAGTCTGCTGCAAGCAACGGTTTTTGTGGGCTTCTGGGAGGGACACATCCACAGCCACTCAGGTAGGCAGACCCTTAATGGTATTGTGTGTATATGTACCCACATGGTGCTGCAAGCAACGGTTTTTGTGGGCTTCTGGGAGGGACACATCCACAGCCACTCAGGTAGGCAGACCCTTAATGGTATTGTGTGTATATGTACCCACATGGTGCTGCAAGCAACGGTTTTTGTGGGCTTCTGGGAGGGACACATCCACAGCCACTCAGGTACGCACGTGATGAGTCTGTTTTTGAGTCAACTAAAAAATAAACTCTTCCTATCCTTCCTGCATATTCTGCTTGTGAGTCGACTCAAAGGACATCTTACAAGCCGCCAGCAGCCCTGCCATTGTGCTACATGCAAGGAACCCTTGCTAAACCGCGTGTAATGAGTCGAGTGCTACTACATACAAGCCGCCAGCAGCCCTGCCATTGTGCTACTACATGCAAGGAACCCTTGCTAAACCCTTGTCATCGTGTTTCTAAACTCTTTGACTTATTCCCTTCGTTGCTCTCCTCCTTTGCTCTCCTCCTTTCCTCCCTTGCTCTTGCCGATCCCCTCTCCCTTCGCCCCTCTCCCCCTTGCCCTCGCCATCCCAGGGTCTCAAGTCAAGTTTGATGCGACCACCAGCCGGGTCTACTTGCAACAAGAAGCAGCGTTCCCGCCTCCTTTTCTCCCTTGCCCTCGCCAATCCCCTCGCCGCCTTGACCCTCGCCCCTCGCCCCCTTGATCCTCGCCCCTCGCCCCCTTGCCCTTGCCAACCCAGGGTCTCAAGTCAAGTTTGATGCAACCACCAGCCGGGTCTACTTGCAGCAGGAAATGCTTGGCATCACGCCTAAACCTCCTTCATCTTTCTCACTGCTTGCCCTCCTCTTTTGCTCCCTTGCCTTCGCCACTGCAGGGTCTCAAGTTTGATGCAACCACCAGCCGGGGCTACTTGCAACAAGAAGCAGCGTTCCCGCCTCTTTTTCTCCCTTGCCCTCGCCTATCCCCTCGCCCCCTTGACCCTCGCCCCTCGCCCCCTTGACCCTCGCCCCTCTCCCCCTTGCCCTCGCCAACCCAGGGTCTCAAGTCAAGTTTGATGCAACCACCAGCCGGGTCTACTTGCAGCAGGAAATGCTTGGCATCACGCCTAAACCTCCTTCATCTTTCTCACTGCTTGCCCTCCTCTTTTGCTCCCTTGCCTTCGCCACTGCAGGGTCTCAAGTTTGATGCAACCACCAGCCGGGTCTACTTGCAGCAGGAAATGCTTGGCATCACGCCTAAACCTCCTTCATCTTTCTCACTGCTTGCCCTCCTCTTTTGCTCCCTTGCCTTCGCCACTGCAGGGTCTCAAGTTTGATGCAACCACCAGCCGGGTCTACTTGCAGCAGGAAATGCTTGGCATCACGCCTAAACCTCCTTCATCTTTCTCACTGCTTGCCCTCCTCTTTTGCTCCCTTGCCTTCGCCACTGCAGGGTCTCAAGTTTGATGCAACCACCAGCCGGGTCTACTTGCAGCAGGAAATGCTTGGCATCACGCCTAAACCTCCTTCATCTTTCTCACTGCTTGCCCTCCAACTTTTTCCTCCTTGCCTTCGCCACTCCAGGGGCTGAAGTTTGATGCAACCACCAGCCGGGTCTACTTGCAACAAGAAGCGGTGAGTAATAAGCTAAACCAGTTGTAACTTGTACCTACTCTTCAAGTACCGACCAGTTAGTTTTTGAGTCGCCCGTCCGTCCCTCCAACACCTCGTCTAGTCCACATTGTTAATCTCCCTTTTTTTGGCCATTGGAGACACCAAAAGCCTGTAATTGAGTCGACTCAAAAACAGGTCCACCAAACACCTCTACTAGCCCCCATCGTAAATCTCCCCGTGATAAAAGAGAGTTTTTTGAGACGCCTCTTTTATACGTCGTAAAACTCTTCTTTTATCCCGTGACCAACAAACACATCTACCAGTCCCCATCGTTTATCTCCCATTTCTTTGCCATTGGAGATTCCAACAAGCCTGTAACTGGCACAACTGCTTTTGAGTCGACTCAAAAGCAGAATTCTAACAAGCCTGTAACTGGCACAATCCTCCCCCAACTTTTGAGGCGCCTCAAAATTTCCCACCAAAACGTCTACTAGTCCACATCTTTAATCTCCCAACTCCTTCCCAACAAGCCTGTAACTGGCTTGGCACAACCCTCCCCCAACTCCTTCCCACCAACACCTCGTCTCTAGTCCACAGCGTTAATCTCCCAATTCTCTACCATTAGAGACACCAACAAGCCTGTAATTGGCACAACCCTTGCCCAACTCCTTCCCACCAGCACCTCGCCCAACTCCCTCCCACCCTTTCCCAATCCCTCTCCAACCTCACTCCATCCCTTCCCGTCCTTTCCCAATCCCTCACACCCTCTTCCCTTTCCTCCACTCTCCCTTCAGAACCCCACGAATCAAGTCCACGCCTCTAGTCCCTCCATCTTTATGGCCCCATTCGAGACACCGACAGAACCCCAATTTGCTTAACCTCCCCCAACCGTTCCCCATGTTCTCCCCTTGCCTTCGTTGCACATTTCTCAGAATCCCACCAAGTCCACGCCTCTAAAATCCAACTTCACGGCCCCATTCAAGACATCGACGGAACCCTCCCCACCCTCCCCTAATCCCTTCCCACCCCATCACCCCATCCTTCCCCGGCCTCTCTCAATCCCTCTTCACTTCCCTTCCCCCGCCCTCCCTTCAGAATCCCACTGGTTTTTGAGAATTCTCGAATCCCACCAAGTCCACGCCACTAGTCTCCACCTCATTTGCAGAGTGTTGTTGAGAACACTCTGCAGCCTTCCCTCCAATCGCTCATTTGCCATTTGCAGCCTTCCCTCCAATCGCTCCCTCCAATTGCTCCCTCCAATCCCTCCCTCCAATCCCTCCCTCCATCCCTTCTCCGCCCTCCCTACCCCTTTCCCTTTCTTCCACTCTCCCTTCAGAACCCCACCAAGTCCACGTCGCTAGTCTCCAACTTCATGGCCCCAGTCGAGACATCGACGGAACCCTCCCCCAATCCCCCTGCTCTCCCCCAACGCCTCTCCACTCTCTCCCCTTTCCCAACCCCCCCTTCAGAATCCCACCAAGTCAACGTCGCTAGTCTCCAACTTCATGGCCGTTAGAGACACCGACGGATCCCTCATTGGCGGCTCTGGGGGCTTCGCCATCGTGCCGTATCTCGCCAAGGTGAGTCACAGGGAAAGGTTTTGAGATGCCTCACAGCACTGTTGACTAGGTGGTGCTGTGTCCGCGTGGTGTGGTGGAACCCTGGTTGGCGCCTCTGGAGGCTTTGCCATCGTGCCGTACCGGGCTAATGTTTTACCAGTACTCTCATTAGTATCACTTACTGTGTGTTATTATCCTTTATTATTGGTATTAATTGTCGGTTTTTTTGTTATTATTGCTATGCACTCTTCCACGTTTGCTGCTGCTGGTTTGTACGTGCCTCGAACGGCTGTGCGCTGTGCTGCTGCTGCCACTTTCCCTGAAACCACCGCCGCCGCCGCTGCTGCTGCTGTGAAGGGCAGCTCCTGAAACCTTAGTGGGAATATACGCTTATAGCGTATATACGCGTATCGTATATACGCGAACGTATATACGCTAAACGCTTAAGGGTCGATTTGGTAATACGCTTTTTCGGGCAGGTAAAAAACTATCCCGGGCAGGGTGAAAAAAACGTCGTGCTCAAGATTAAGAAGGTGATCCCTATTCTCATTAAGACTTTCGTAGCATTTCCCTAAGTCTGAACGGCGATTGGGGTGGGACGTGGAGTAGACACTAAAAGGAGAAGTAGGTAGGAATCGGAAGGAGCTCTGCTGTTAGAAAGCGGGAATGCCAACTAGAAATGACGACTGGAATTTTGCTGGCTGGTAAGTAGCGTGAGTGGGGTTTGGTGGGGGACGTTTTGGACAGGTTGGAATTCGTAGATAATATGGGTTCCAATGCGGTACCAAGCTAATGTTCAAATTTGAACTGCCTGCAACTTCGAAGGCCCACTCCCGCTTCCCTAGACCGTCAAATTGCATTTCGACTTAGGCGAAATGCTCAGCAGAAGATTCCGCATCTTTCTGTATACAAGCGATTTTTTTCCCTGGGCAGCCCGAAATTTTTTTTGATAGCGTATAGCGTATTAGCTAGCGTATTGCGTTTTGCGTACACACGCTAGCGTGTATACGCTATACGCTTTAGGGTTTGAGCGTATATTCCCACTAAGCCTGAAACACCTCCCAACCACTCCCCTCTCCCCTGTTTCCCCTCCCCTCCAGCCTCCAGCCACTGTGGCAGCCAAGAAGAAGAACAGCCTTCCCTCAGGACGAAAGCCAGCAGGCCCCCTGTCCGGCTGCCAGTACAGCAACACCCTCAAACACCTTCCCACCACTCCCCACTCCCCTGTTTTCCCCGCCCCTCCAGCCTCCTGCCACTGTGGCAGCCAAGAAGAAGAACAGCCTTCCCTCAGGACGAAAGCCAGCAGGCCCCCTCTCAGGCTGCCAGTACCGAGACCTCTCGGTGGGGTTCACATGCCCGGGCACCTGCTTCCACTCCTTCTCCGCCACAGTTGCTGAAACACCTCCCAACCACTCCCCACTCCCTTGTTTTTCCCCATCCAGCCTCCAGCGACTGTGGCAGCCAAGCTGAGGAGCATGCCAGCAGGCCTCCTATCGGGCTGCCAGTATCAAGACCTCTCGGTGGGGTTCACCTGCCCGGGCACCTGCTTCCTCTCCTTCTCCGCCACCTTCTATGAAGCCACCGCTGCCGCTGCCGCCGCTGCTGCTGTGAAGGGCAGTGCCTTGCGAGCCTTCGGTTGCTGAAACACCTCCCCACCGCTCCCCACTCCCCTGTGTTCCCCCTCCCACCCATCCAGCCACCTGCCACTGTTGCGGCGAAGCAAACCAGGGCCGGGAGGAAGCCAGCAGGCCCCCTATCAGGCCGCCAGTACCGAGACCTCTCGGTGGGGTTCACATGCCCGGGCACCTGCTTCCTCTCCTTCTCCGCCACCTTCTATGAATCCTCCTCTACGCCACCTCTCATGAAAACTCCTCCTCACCGTTCTTCACCGCTCCCCACTCCCCTGTTTTCCCCTCTCCAGCCTCCCGCCACTGTGGCAGCCAGGAAGCAGAGGAGCATGCCAGCAGGGAAGCGGCCAGCAGGCCCCCTCTCAGGCTGTCAGTACCGAGACCTCTCGGTGGGGTTCACATGCCTCTGCACTCCCCACTCCCCTGATTTCCTCTCTCCAGCCTCCTGCAGCTGTGGCGGCCAAGCTGAGGAGCCTGCCAGCAGGGAAGCGGCCAGCAGGCCCCCTCTCAGGCTGCCAGTACCGAGACCTCTCGGTGGGGTTCACGTGTCCGAGCACCTGCTTCCACTCCTTCTCCGCCACCTTTTACGAATCCACCGGCGCTGCTGCTGTGAAGGGGAGCTCCCAGCGGCCGTACAGCTACCTGGTGATCACGAGGGAGGAGGACGGGGCTCAGTTCACGGCCTACGGGTTTCAGAACGACCCGATTCCTGTCATCCCGGCAAAGGCCTCTGTTCGCAGGTGGGTGCTCTGTCCATCATCTCTCAGCTCACTCTCAGTTCTGACTAATTTTCTGTCCAGTTACCTAGTGTTTGGGTGAGTACGCACAAAAGGTGCTGCTGCTGCTGTGAAGGGGAGCTCCCAGCGGCCGTACAGCTACCTGGTGATCACGAGGGAGGAGGACGGGGCGCAGTTCACGGCTTACGGGTTTCAGAACGACCCGATTCCAACCATCCCAGCCAAGGCCTCTGTCCGCAGGTAGGTTTCTCTCTGTCAGTCAGTCCCTGTCATCTCCCTGTCTTTTGGGCAGCGCCCAGCGGATGTGATGGGCAACTCTCACCTCCCACTGCCGCTGCTGCTGCTGTGAAGGGCAGCGCCCAGCGGCCGTACAGCTACCTGGTGATCACGAGGGAGGAGGACGGGGCGCAGTTCACGGCCTACGGGTTTCAGAACGACCCGATTCCTGTCATCCCGGCAAAGGCCTCTGTTCGCAGGTGGGTGCTCTGTCCATCATCTCTCAGCTCACTCTCAGTTCTGACTAATTTTCCGTCCAGTTACCTAGTGTTTGGGTGAGTACGCACAAAAGGTGCTGCTGCTGCAGTGAAGGGGAGCTCCCAGCGGCCGTACAGCTACCTGGTGATCACGAGGGAGGAGGATGGGGCGCAGTTCACGGCTTACGGGTTTCAAAACGACCCGATTCCTGTCATCCCGGCAAAGGCCAGTGTCCGCAGGTGGGTCTCTATTCCGTCAGTCAGTTACCTCTCAGTTATCTCTCAATTACCATCCAGTTACCAGGTGTGTGGGGTGAACAGCCAAGTGTGCTGCTGCTGCTGCTGCTGCAGCTGTGAAGGGGAGCTCCCAGTGGCCGTACAGCTACCTGGTGATCACCAGGGAGGAGGATGGGGCTCAGTTCACGGCCTCCTGCCTTCCCACTCATTCCTCTCCTTCCCGCTTCTTCTTCCTTCTCCCATCCCACACAGGTGGATATCAGCCACGCTTGAAGCCGGCTGCACATACCGAGTGCGCGTCGTCGCTCCCCCATCCAAAGCGGCCTTCTGCCTTCGTATTCGCTCCTCTTCCCATTCACTCCGTCTGTCCTCGCCTCCATCTCTCATCCACAGGTGGATATCAGCCACGCTTGAAGCCGGCTGCACATACCGAGTGCGCGTCGTCGCTCCCCCATCCAAAGCGGCCTTCTGCCTTCCTATTCGCTCCTCTTCCCATTCACTCCGTCTGTCCTCGCCTCCATCTCTCATCCACAGGTGGATATCAGCCACGCTTGAAGCTGGCTGCACATACCGAGTGCGCGTCGTCGCTCCCCCATCCAAAGCGCCCTTCTGCCTTCCTATTCGCTCCTCTTCCCATTCACTCCGTCTGTCCTTGCCTCCATCTCTCATCCCACACAGGTGGATATCAGCCACGCTTGGAGCGGGGTTCACCTACCGTGTGCGCCTCGTTTCTCGCCTCTTCCACCAACCAACCTGCCTTGTTTCTCCTCTCCTCTCTCCGTTTCCTCCTCTCTCTCTCTCCTTCATTTATCCCAACAGGTGGATATCTGCCATCCTGGAAGCCAGGTTCACCTACCGTGCACACCTCGTTGCTCCCCTCTACCACCAACCAACCTCCCTTGTTTCACCTTCCCTTTCCGTCTTCTTATCTCTGTCCTTTTCTCTTTTCCCACACAGGTGGATGTCTGCCATCCTGGAAGCCAGGTACACCTACCGCGTGCGCCTCGTTGCTCCCCTCTACCACCAACCGACCTCCCTTGTTTCTCCTTCTGTTTCCGTCTTCTCATCTCTCTCCTTCTCTCTTATCTCAACAGGTGGATATCAGCCACGCTTGAAGCCGGCTTCACCTACCGCGTGCGAGCCCCGTTGCTCCCCCATCCAACCAATTACCCTTAATCCTTTGTCTTCCTCCCTCCCCCCCTTCCTTCTCCTCTGCTTCAACCCACACCGGTGGATATCAGCCACGCTTGAAGCTGGCTTCACCTACCGCGTGCGCGTCGTTGCTCCCCCATCCAACCAACAAACCAACCCTCCCTTGTTTCTCCTCCCTCCCTTTCCTTCTCTCTCTCCTTCTCCTATCCCACACAGGTGGATATCAGCCACGCTTGAAGCCGGCTTCACCTACCGCGTGCGCGTCGTTGCTCCCCCATCCAACCCCACCTTCTATCCGGATCGCATTGCGGTGCAGCTGAGGGACGTGGGGGGGTGTGAGGGGCGAGTGAGGGTGCTCGTTGAACCAAAGGACACTGCCACCAACTGGGTCGCCACCTACAGCCCTCCCACCAGGTCCGTTGGTTGCACTTCCTCCTCCCTTGCTCCCCTTACCAACCTGACGGTGGTGCAGCTGAGGGACGTGGGGGGGTGTGCGGGGCGAGTGAAGGTCTTGATTGAGCCCAAGGACGCGGCTACCAACTGGGTCGCCGCCTACAGCCCTCCCACCAGGTCCAGTGTTGCCACTCTCTCTCACTAGGAGCCGTGAGCCCTTACAGCCCACCTTGGTGCAGCTGAGGGACGTGGGGGGATGTGTGGGGCTAGTGAGGGTGCTCGTTGAACCCAAGGTCGCTGCCACCAACTGGGTTGCCACCTACAGCCCTCCCACCAGGTGAGCCACTTGCTTCTTCTCTCGCCTATAGCCTCTCACCTACAGCCGTGAGCCCTTACGGCGCACCAGGTGCAGCTGAGGGACGTGGGGGGGTGTGAGGGGCGAGTGAAGGTCTTGATTGAGCTGAACAACGCTGACTGAATTCTGCTGAGTCGCCACCTACAGCCCTCCCGCCAGTTCCCCCTTCCTCCATTGCTTTGCGGATCCACCAGTTGCTACTACATAGCTACATGCTTGTGTCACCTTTGAGAATTGCCAGAAGCTATACAACCACTTGCGTCCACCACTTGCGACAACTGTCTTATCTGCATGCTTGTGTTCTGTCACTTTTGAGAATTCTCAAACGTTACACAGCCCATTGCTTTGCGCATCCACCACCTACCAGAAGAGCTGTCTTTGCTCCATGCTTGTCCCACTTTATGGAATTCTCAAATGTTACATAGCCCATTTCTTTGCGCATCCACCGCCTACCAGAAGAGCTGTCTTTGCTCCAACACCCACCCGCTCTTACGCCTAATCTCACTCCCTGTTGCTCTCTCCCTTTCCTTGCTTCTCCTCCTCCCCCCAGGTGCTCCTCAACGGTGCTCGCCCCATCCACCACCTACCAGAGCTACCTCTGCTCCAGCAGTCGCCGATTCCTGGTCCTAGATTTCGGCGCCCCGGAACAGTCGTACCAGATGCTTGCTATAGCTCGCTCCACCTCATGCTCCTCTACGTCTTGCTAGGTTTTGAGCCGACCCCACTCATTTTCTGGTCAACGCATGAAGATGTTCGCTGTAGCTCGCTCCACCTCATGCTCCTCTACGTCTTGCTAGGTTTTGAGCCGACCCCACTCTTTTTCTGGTCAACGCATGAAGATGTTCGCTATAGCTCGCTCCGCCTCATGCTCCTCTACGTCTTGCTAGATGCTTGGTCGCTCTAGCTTCGAGGCTCATCGAAAGTAGATGTTTGAGCTTAGGGGCTGATGTTTGCTGTGGTCAAAACCATGGCATGGCACGGTCATACCACCTGACCTGATGGTTGCTGTGTCTTTCTCCATGCCTTTGTTTGTCATTAGTTTGTTCAATTGCTTCATTCTGAAGTGTTACAGTTGTATTCTAGCTGCGAATTTCTGTTTATGAAACAATTTATAATTGCTCTGTGACTGTTGATTCATGTGTTTTATTATTAGAGCTAATTCTTCCAAGATTTATCAAGTAATTTCCTTTGCAGTTTGATAGTACACTCAAGAAGAATACAAGCATAAACCCTGTTCCCAAGAATTTCTACCCAACCATTCCGATGTGGAATAGAACCGCACAATGCAGACTCGATATGCAAATGTGGCTTGGGGCATCCGCTACAACGCTTCCATCCAACACTCAGTTCCGCAGATACTCTTGCTGAGCCCTATTGCGGTAGCCTCACAAATGAGTGCGTGGCTCCTATTATGCTTGAAAGACTCATCTGCAGCTGCAATTCTTTCTCGATCTGTGCACAGAAGGTGTTACGTCGTGCTGCGGCTCTGTTCAGCTTTTTAATCGATGCGTATCAGTCGAGGAGTTACGCCGGGCCTGGCGGAGCCTTTTTCTCCCTCGTCGTCATCGAGAAAGCCGCAACTAGTACACGTTCGCGTTTTAGATCCCTGCCGGTTCTGCTTCCTCGGGTGCGAAATCGATATCTCGAATTGAGAGAATTAGGGTTTCGTAGAGTCCAGGCCTGATTGTTTCGTAAGGGATGGCGAAATCCGAGATGGATTCGGAAGATTTTGTAGAATTAACAGAGGAGCGACTGTCAGTGGACAAATACGTCGATTTGGTGAGGGATCCCGGTGCTGGAGCCATCTCGACGTTTCTAGGAACTACGCGCGACTCGTTTGAAGATAAAATTGTGACCCGGCTCGAGTACGAGGGTTATAACGAGATGGCGATCAGGCAAGTGTACCCCCGTTGGCGGAGTCATTGACTACTTCTCCCACGCTTCCCCCCTGCCTTCCGCCAACCTTCCCCCCACCCACACCCCCACTCCCCCGCCCCCCCACCCCGCCTCTCTCCGCCCACCTCTCCCTGTCTTAACCTTCTCTCTCCACCCCCCTCGCTTTCTTCTCCGCCTCTCCGTGCGCCCCCTGTTCCCCCCTTCCAATGCTCCCTAATCTCTTGAGTCCATCGACATTGCATTTCTGTACCGCACTCTTCTTTCCCCCTTTCCCGGCCCCTCCCACCCCCCAATTTCGCAATCTTTTCCCCTCCAGTCCCCTCCCTTTTTCCCCCGCCTCCCGTTGTCCCCCCTCTTTCCGCATCATCTGATGCGCCGCGATCCCTACACTCTAGCAGCACTTTTCCTGTACCTGACTCACCGTCCCCCCTTTTGGCCTTCCACCCTCCCACCCCCGTGTTGTTCCAATGGCTCATTTTCCAATCTGTCTTCCAAATTTCAGTGTCCTGAAACAGATCGTCCAGTCAGCGCGTGCCAAGTGGCAGCTGAAGAAGGTCGCAGTCGCTCACCGCTTGGGAGTCGTCCCTGTATCAGAGGCCAGTGTAATCATTGCTGTGTCCAGCGCCCACAGAAAAGAATCCCTTGCTGCAGTCACATTCCTTATAGACGAGCTCAAAGCGAAGGTGCCTATATGGAAGAAAGAGGTATATGCTGGACGTATAGGTGATAAAGTCAATTCCGGTAAAGGTAGTACAGGTGTTGAAGGTGGTGGTGGTGAGGGAATGGCACTCGACGGAGGCAATAGCGGGGAGGAGGCTGTTTGGAAGCAGAATGTTGAATTCGTTGTGTCTCATCCAGGAAGCTCCGAAGGTCATCCTTCAAGTTCTTGATACAATGGCAAGTGCGTAGTTAAGGTACTAGGGGTGCTTGCCCTCGGGTTTTAACAGGGTAGTCTAAGAAGAATTGTGCTGGAGAATATAATATTCTATACAGTACAGGCAAAGCAATAAATTGGAGGTGAGTGGACCTTGGTACTAGACTCCCTGTTGGTAAGAAGAGGCTTCTTGCGAGGCCTCCTAGGTTATCGGAGGAGGTCAGGACTCAGCTGGAGATGACACATCCACGTGGCGAAGCAGAGGCTTGTCAGGATCACGTCAGGAGCACGTCAGGTTGAGACAAGGAGCAAGATTCGCAGTTCCCACATCCAAGGCACGTCAGAAGGGCGTCAGAGATACGTCAGGATGTCATCTTGTGTCCACTGGGAGGAGGTTCGAGCATTGAGAATGCCACTGGGACGAAGCTTCAGCTTCGCTACATCACCCCGCAATCTTTACCACGCAAAGCAGTCGCAAAAGGTTATGACGTTGATGGAGAATGGCCAACTTCAGTGTCTTCAAAATTCAGGGAACGAAATAATGGTTTTGCCGCCTGTGGCGACATTTTTCTCCGCTTCGCGAAAAGGTCGCGCATGTCTGGTTTGGCCTTGGTCGGCGCGTTTGGACAGGCGCGAGGCGGTGGTATCTTGAAGCGCTTTCCCGTTGGAGTGGCTTGAATCGAAGGAGAAGTACCTTCAGCGTCTGCGGAGGGACAGGAGAAATAGAGAACGATCATGGATGAAGCGTCGACGCAGTTATAGAAATACAAAAACGAATATTTATGATATCATAAAGCCTTCGGGGTAGAAATTGCTCTATTTGCGAACAAGAAGCAATGCTGTTGACTCAATGAAACTGACTCCGAATAAGAGCGTCAGTCTCCGAGAAAGACTCTTCGGGAGAGGTAAGAATAGTAAGTACCCTGTCTTATTTCCGTCGTGGAAGAAGAGGCGTCGTCCGTCTCGAAAAAACTCTCGTCTGTCTCGGGAGTTTCACGCGATGGCGACGGTTGGCAGAGAACAGAGCTACTACTAGGCGCCAACAACGCCAACGAAATTCGACACATAACAGTAAGCTACGAGCACAATAAAGTGGGTGGTTTAAAGCCGCGGTGCAGATATCCGGGCTCCAGTTCAAACTATTATAGTTTGAAAGCCGCGTAACCCAGTATACACAGGAAAGCGAGCAGGGAGAGGTTTCTGCCAGCGGGGGAAGGGCGTGCGGAAAAGTCCTTCGCAGTATGATGTGTGTGGGGGGGAAACGGGGGAGGGCTCGGGGAAAAGCTCCGCTCAACGAGTTGAGGGGGAGCGCATGCAGCAAACTTGAAAATTCAAACTTGAACTCAAAACAACTCAAACTCGGCAAACTCTCACGCTTGAACTAGGTTCTTACTAACTTGAAGTGCGTTTTCCGAGCTACGCAGAGCCATTTCCGCTAAGATTTCTCGCGTTTCATGGTCTATTGATGTGCTCACGAATATCTGCGCAATTTCCTACCTCGTAAACACCTTTTTGTCGTATTCGAAGCGCATTGCACTCGTTTTCCTCCGTTGCCGTCCTTATTCCTCTCCCGCCCCTCCATTCCTCACGTATCTGCGGTAGCAAAGGCGCAACGGTAGCGACAGGCAGGAATGGGTGCGACGGTGGCGAGCAGCGGGGCGACGATAGCGAGCGGTGCGGCGACGATAGCGAGCAGCGGGGCGACGATATGAGCAGCGGGGTGACGATAGCGAGCAGCAGGGCGACGATAGCGAGCACCAGGGCGACGATAGCGAGCTCCAGGGCGACGATAGCGAGCATCAAGGCGACGATAGCGACAACCAGGGCGACGATAGCGAGCTCCAGGGCGACGATAGCAAGCACCAGGGCGACGATAGCGAGCAGCGGGGCGAAGCATCTGTGCGACGGTGGCGAAGCATCTCGCGTCCCCCTCCATATTTATTCCTCTCCAATGCCTCCCCCTTTCCGATCCCTTGCCCGGTCCTCAGCATCAACTTCTCTTGGGCAGTGCCCTCCCTGTTTTCCTCTCCCTTTCCCCCTGTCCTCCTCTCCCTTTCCCCCTGTCCTCCTCTCCCTTTCCCCCTGTCCTCCTCTCCCTTTCCCCCTGTCCTCCTCTCCCTTTCCCCCTGTCCTCCTCTCCCTTTCCCCCTGTCCTCCTCTCCCTTTCCCCCTGTCCTCCTCTCCCTTTCCCCCTGTCCTCCTCTCCCTTTCCCCCTGTCCTCCTCTCCATTTCCCCCTGTCCTCCTCTCCCTTTCCCCCTGTCCTCCTCTCCCTTTCCCCCTGTCCTCCTCTCCCTTTCCCCCTGTCCTCCTCTCCCTTTCCCCCTGTCCTTCTCTCCCTTTCCCCCTGTCCTCTCCATTTCCCCCTGTCCTCCTCTCCATTTCCCCCTGTCCTTCTCTCCCTTTCCCCCTGTCCTCCTCTCCCTTTCCCCCTGTCCTTCTCTCCCTTTCCCCCTGTCCTCCTCTCCCTTTCCCCCTGTCCTTCTCTCCCTTTCCCCCTGTCCTCCTCTCCATTTCCCCCTGTCCTCCTCTCCCTTTCCCCCTGTCCTCTCCCTTTCCCCCTGTCCTCCTCTCCATTTCCCTCTGTCCTCCTCTCCCTTTCCCCCTGTCCTCCTCTCCCTTTCCCCCTGTCCTCCTCTCCCTTTCCCCCTGTCCTCCTCTCCCTTTCCCCCTGTCCTCCTCTCCCTTTCCCCCTGTCCTCCTCTCCATTTCCCCCTGTCCTCCTCTCCATTTCCCCCTGTCATCCTCTCCCTTTCCCCCTGTCCTCCTCTCCCTTTCCCCCAGTCCTCCTCTCCATTTCCCCCTGTCCTTCTCTCCCTTTCCCCCTGTCCTTCTCTCCCTTTCCCCCTGTCCTTCCCTCCCACCTTTCCTCCCCCTCTCTCACATCCCTTCCCTTTCCTACTGTCCTCTCCCACCATTCACGCTTCTCTCAGCCATCCCTTTCCCCCCTCCCCTGCCCCTCGCCTTCCCCCACTACCGTCCCTTCCCTTTCCACTACGTTCTCTCGTTCAATTCAGCCAACAGTACCAGCTTTGCTTAGCCACTGAAGGCTGTCTATCATATCTCAGTTTCCATGCTCTCTTCAATTTCCCTACCTAACATTCTTCAATAATGCGCAACGTTTCCTTCCCCTTTTCCCCTCCCCCCTCCTCCCTGTAAATGGACAGCTGCACCAATAGTGGATCGGAGTGTAAAAATCGGCTCTCCTTGGATTATGCCATGTTGTTTGCTTGCGATCCTTTGCATGATAAGGATTTCAATATGACATTCCAAGTCTTGCAGGTCTGTACAGTTGATGTTCTTTCTCCCCATTAGAAATAATACTCTTGCAAATGGATGGATAAATAAACCAAAATAAACCTTGTAAGTGAAATATGTATTTTGCAAAGTTTTTATGAAACATAAGGTTTATCGTTTTGCAATGTGGAGGTGTTATTGGCAGAACAATCAGCGAAAGGGAGTATGGGGGTGTTGATGTGGTCCCATTTCCCGTTTCGTGTGTGTTCCCCCCTTCCCTTCCCCCCACCCCTTCCCCCCCACTTTTCCTTTCGAGGTTCGCGACATTCGCCTTGGATGTTTTCATCGCAACACAACTTACACACTCGCTAGCCAATTGACTACCAGTACGGAACAAGACAAAACCCGGCTTGTCACTGTTCCTAAGATAGTTGCACCGCGGCTTTAAGTGGTTAGAGGAGTCAGTGGATCCTTATCCTACGAAGCGCATGCATCCCGACTGGAAGCTCAAATCTGATCAATAAGCCAGCTTATTCACTGCTAGAATGCCTCAGGAAAACGTACGACTACAAGCAAGCACATGTGCAGATGGAGGTTGGCCCGACTATGAAATTAAAGCCCAAGACCTGAATTACTCAACGGAAGTCAACTGAGTATTTCTAGGTTCGGCGGGCTGCCAGTTGGAGGTTCGGATGGGTTGAGTGACAGGCGAAGCCTCAAAAACACTTTGCGACTGAAAGTAGTTCGCCACAAACTCCCTACATGCTGATTGGTTGTAAAAAGCAGGCAGGGCCCTTCTTCCCAAACTCGACAAACCTGAGAAGCAACGTGCCAGGGAAACTGTGCACAGTTTGAGCAGCCACACATGCACTCGAACAAACATATTAGTTGCTTAGTCCACTTCAGCAGGGCGCCACCTTAGATTCTAGAAATACGCGGAATAGCCGTAGGGAGCGAATGTCCGTGTGGACTGGACCAGCAAAGTGCGATGCTTAGGGTGAGGATAGAGGAGGCTGTTACTAAATGCCAGTGCGGGCGTGAGTTAGCGAGACACATCGAGGCCTGAACTGGCGATTTATTCAGAGAGTCTAAAAGTATAGGCTAATACACAAACACTCGACCACGCTCGCTTCCCATAGGTCACAGGGCGGACGTATCCATCGTCTGCAATGCGTAGCCATCTTACGCCGCGCGTCGGAGCCGATTAGAAACAAACGCGCTAGAGACAGCCTCAGCATCTTGCCTCCCGCCCTGCCCGGGAAATCCCCTCCCCGCCATTTGGTCGCGCCTGCCTTTCACATATCGCATGGTGAGAAGCTTCCCGTCGCCCTCATTCCATCTTCCCGTCGCCCTCATTCCATCTTCCCGTCGCCCTCATTCCATCTTCCCGTCGCCCTCATTCCATCTTCCCGTCGCCCTCATTCCATCTTCCCGTCGCCCTCATTCCATCTTCCCGTCGCCCTCATTCCATCTTCCCGTCGCCCTCATTCCATCTTCCCGTCGCCCTCATTCCATCTTCCCGTCGCCCTCATTCCATCTTCCCGTCGCCCTCATTCCATCTTCCCGTCGCCCTCATTCCATCTTCCCGTCGCCCTCATTCCATCTTCCCGTCGCCCTCATTCCATCTTCCCGTCGCCCTCATTCCATCTTCCCGTCGCCCTCATTCCATCTTCCCGTCGCCCTCATTCCATCTTCCCGTCGCCCTCATTCCATCTTCCCGTCGCCCTCATTCCATCTTCCCGTCGCCCTCATTCCATCTTCCCGTCGCCCTCATTCCATCTTCCCGTCGCCCTCATTCCATCTTCCCGTCGCCCTCATTTCCCGTCCCGTCGCCCTCGTTTCCCTTCCCGTCGCCCTCATTTCCCTTCCCGACGCCCCCATTTCCCTTCCCGTCGCACTCATTTCCCTTCCCGTCGCACTTATTTCCCGACCCGGCGCACTTATTTCCCTTCCCGTCGCCCTCATTTCCCGTCCCGTCGCCCTCATTTCCCTTCCCGTCGCACTCATTTCCCTTCCCGTCGCCCTCATTTCCCTTCCCGTCACCCCCCATTACCCTTCCCGTCGCAAACATTACCCTTCCCGTCGCCCTCATTTCCCTTCCCGTCGCACTCATTTCCCTCGAGTCCTCCCTCCCCCTCATCCGCCCTTCCTCCACCTCTCCATCCTCTCATCCTCCCTTCATCTCATCCTCCCTTCCTCTTATCCGCCCTTCCTCTCATCCTCCTTTCCTCTCATCCACCCTTCCTCTCATCCTCCCTTCTCTCATCCTGTCTCCCTCTCATCCTCTCTCCCTCTCGTCCGCCCTGCGTCTCGACCTTCCTTCCTCTCGTCCTCCCTCCCCGTCTTCCGCCCTCCCCCTCATCCGCCCTCCCTCTCATCCTCCCTTCATCTCATCCTCCCTTCCTCTTATCCGCCCTTCCTCTCATCCTCCTTTCCTCTCATCCTCCCGCCCTCTCATCCGCCCTTCTCTCATCCTCTCGCCCTCTCATCCGCCCTCCCTCTCATCCTCCCTTCATCTCATCCTCCCTTCATCTCATCCACCCATACTCTCATCCTCCCTTCCTCTCATCCTCCCTTCCTCTCATCCTCCTCTCCTCTCATCCTACCCTTCCTCACATCCTCTCTTCCTCTCATCCTCCCTTCCTCTCATCCGCCCTTCTCTCTCTCATCCTCCCGCCCTCTCATCCGCCCTTCTCTCAAGGGCTCGCCCTCTCATCCTCTCTCCCTCTCATCCTCTCTCCATCTCATCCTCCCTTCATGAAATCCACCCATCCTCTCATCCTCCCTTCCTCTCATCCTCCCTTCCTCTCATCCTCCTCTCCTCTCATCCTCTCTCCCTCTCATCCGCCCTCCCTCTCATCCTCCCTTCATCTCATCCTCCTTTCCTCTCATCCTCCCTTCCTCTCATCCGCCCTTCTCTCTCTCATCCTCTCTACCTCTCATCCTCCCGCCCTCTCATCCGCCCTTCCTCTCGTCCTCCCTTCCTCTCGTCCTCTCCCCCCTTCTTCCGCCCTCCCCCTCATCCGCCCTTCCTCACATCCTCTCTTCCTCTCATCCTCCCAACCTCTCATCCGCCCTTCTCTCTCTCTTCCTCCCGCCCTCTCATCCGCCCTTCTCTCATCCTCTCGCCCTCTCATCCGCCCATCCTCTCATCCTCCCTTCATCTCATCCTCCCTTCATCTCATCCACCCATCCTCTCATCCTCCCTTCCTCTCATCCTCCCTTCCTCTCATCCTCCTCTCCTCTCATCCTACCCTTCCTCACATCCTCTCTTCCTCTCATCCTCCCTTCCTCTCATCCGCCCTTCTCTCTCTCATCCTCCCGCCCTCTCATCCGCCCTTCTCTCATCCTCTCGCCCTCTCATCCGCCCATCCTCTCATCCTCCCTTCATCTCATCCTCCCTTCATCTCATCCACCCATCCTCTCATCCTCCCTTCCTCTCATCCTCCCTTCCTCTCATCCTCCTCTCCTCTCATCCTCTCTCCCTCTCATCCGCCCTCCCTCTCATCCTCCCTTCATCTCATCCTCCTTTCCTCTCATCCTCCCTTCCTCTCATCCGCCCTTCTCTCTCTCATCCTCTCTACCTCTCATCCTCCCGCCCTCTCATCTGCCCTTCCTCTCGTCCTCCCTTCCTCTCGTCCTCCCCCCCCCTTCTTCCGCCCTCCCCCTCATCCGCCCTTCCTCTCATCCACCCATCCTCTCATCCTCCCTTCCTCTCATCCACCCATCCTCTCATCCTCCCTTCATCTTATCCTCCCTTCCTCTTATCCGCCCTTCCTCCAAACCTCCCTTCCTCTCATCCTCCTCTCCTCTCATCCACCCTTCCTCTCGTCCTCCCTTCCTCTCGTCCGCCCTTCCTCTCATCCGCCCTTCCTCTCATCCTCCCTTCCTCTCATCCGCCCTTCCTCTCATCCGCCCTTCTCTCTCTCATCCTCCCGCCCTTTCATCCGCCCTTCCGCTCGTCCTCCCTTCCTCTCGTCCTCCCTCCCCTTCTTCCGACCTCCCCCTCATCCGCCCTTCCTCTCATCCGCCCATCCTCTCATCCTCCCTTCATCTCATCCTCCTTTCCTCTCATCCTCCCTTCCTCTCATCCGCCCTTCTCTCTCTCATCCTCCCGCCCTTTCATCCGCCCTTCCTCTCGTCCTCCCTTCCTCTCGTCCTCCCTCCCCTTCTTCCGACCTCCCCCTCATCCGCCCTTCCTCTCATCCGCCCATCCTCTCATCCTCCCTTCATCTCATCCTCCTTTCCTCTCATCCTCCCTTCCTCTCATCCGCCCTTCTCTCTCTCATCCTCTCTACCTCTCATCCTCTCTCCCTCTCATCCGCCCTTCCTCTCGTCCTCCCTTCCTCTCGTCCTCCCTCCCCTTCTTCCGACCTCCCCCTCATCCGCCCTTCCTCTCATCCGCCCATCCTCTCATCCTCCCTTCATCAGAAACTCAGGATGCGAGGGTGCTGCGATGGAAGAGAGGAGAGGTGGGATGGAAGGGATTGAGGATGGGCAACCCAGAAAGGGGACGGCATGGGAGCTAGAATGGCACCCACGGCAACTCGGTATAATGCAGGGGGATTTCCAACATGGGAAGGCGGTGAGGGTGCTCGCGTATGAGCTTGTGGGACGCGGGGACCCTAAACCCCTAAACTAATGTGAGAGAAGTAGGAAAGGGAGAGTGATGGTTCAGTGTGGAAAAAGGGCAATGGGACGGCTAATAGGGGTGATGGAAAGTAGTGTTAAGGGGCTGTGATTTGGAGGAAAGATAAGGCAGGGAGAGCACGAGAGGAATGAAGCATCAACCGAGGGACCATATTGAACCTGTGTGGGCAGGAAGATTAGGGATGGAGACTGTGTAATAGGTTCTTGAAATGGGACGGCTGGGGGTTGGGAAGGTAGGGGTGCAGAGATGGAAGGGGGGAGGGCTCCCATCTAAAGAACCGGCGTCGGGTGCACGGGCGCTTGAGTAGCAACAGAAGATCGGGGCGAGTGAGCTGGCGTAGTAGGGGACGGGGGAAGTGCGGATGGGAGGGTGAGAATTGCAGAATTGATGTCAAGGTGCTGTGGATGGCTAGTGATGGATGTCAGATTTGAAGACAGAATACTCAGAAACTATGAATAATGAGGTGGGAATCCCAATGTGGGGAAGCTGTGAGGAGGGTGGTGTCAGAACATTTGGGATGCGAGGCAAAAAATAGGGTGATAAACAGGGAGGGAGGGTGACAGTTGAGTGGGATGGAAGGGAGTGAGGGGGCAAAGATGAGTAGAGGGGGACAAGAGGAGCAGAGGAGGGAAAGAGGAGCAGAGAGCGAAGGAGCCTCACAGGAGAAAAGTGGAGCTGGGCGGAAAAAGAGGGGCATAGGGGGAACAGCGGAGCTTCGGGTTGGAAGTGGTGCAGAAAGGAGAAGGACCAGCGGAAGGGGGTAAGATGAGCATAGGGGGACAAGAGGAGCAGAGGGGGAGCGAGGGCGTACATGTGGGAAATAGAGGGCGTGCAACGAGGGTTTTCTGCGGGCGTGCAGGGGGACTGCGGAAGCACCGCCGTTGCAAGAGTGTGGGCGGGGGTGAGGGCAAAAGACGCGATCAGCGACGCCAACGGAGGCTGTCGCGAGACGCGGAGGCAGCGTGGAGAGAGAAGGTGAAGTCCCTCACGCCTCCTAGATCCTCACTGTTGGTGATTTGGAGGAAAGGAGGACGCAATGTGAGTAGAAAGGTGGACGTGCGGTGAGTTGAAAGGAGGACGCAAGGTGAGGAGAGAGGAGGACGCGAGGTGAGGAGAGAGGAGGACGCGAGGTGAGGAGAGAGGAGGACGTGAGGTGAGGAGAGAGGAGGACGTGAGGTGAGGAGAGAGGAGCACGCAAGGTGAGGAGAGGGGAGGACGCGAGGTGAGGAGAGAGGAGGATGCGAGGTGAGGAGAGAGGAGGACGCGAGGTACAGGAAAGAGGTGCACGCATGGTGTGGAGAGAGGAGCACGTGAGGGGAGGCGAGAGGAGCACGCTAGGGATGGTGAGAGGAGGACGCGCGGGGAGGCAAGAGGAGCGCGTGCGGGGGGGCGATAGGATGCCGCGCGAGTGGCGAGAAGAGCGCACGCGGGAGGCGAGAGGATCTCGCGCGGGCTTACCAGGCAGGTGCGCGCGCTGGGAGGAGAAACGTGTGCGTGTGCACGGGATTCCCGAGTGAGGAAACGTGGGCGCCCCTGTCAGGATAGTGGGAAGTGGTAGGGACCCGCATACGTCGAAAGTGGGTGGTAGCGGAGCCATTTCACGAAGCGTCGCAAGGAGACGGTCCCTCCCTTTAATCCAATATGGTCGCATGTATTGTGAGGAGAGAGGCGCACGCAAGGTGAGGAGAGAGGAGCACGCAAGGTGAGGAGAGAGGAGGCCTCAAGGTGAGGAGAGAGGAGCACGCAAGGTGAGGATAGAGGAGCACGCAAGGTGAGGATAGAGGAGCACGCAAGGTGAGGATAGAGGAGCACGCAAGGTGAGGAGAGGGGAGCACGCAAGGTGAGGAGAGGGGAGCACGCAAGGTGAGGAGAGGGGAGAACGCAAGGTGAGGAGAAGGGAGCACGCAAGGTGAGGAGAGGGGAGCACGCAAGGTGAGGAGAGGGGAGCACGCAAGGTGAGGAGAGGGGAGCACGCAAGGTGAGGAGAGGGAGCACGCAAGGTGAGGAGAGGGGAGCACGCAAGGTGAGGAGAGGGGAGCACGCAAGGTGAGGAGAGGGGAGCACGCAAGGTGAGGAGAGGGGAGCACGCAAGGTGAGGAGAGGGGAGCACGCAAGGTGAGGAGAGGGAGCACGCAAGGTGAGGAGAGGGGAGCACGCAAGGTGAGGAGAGGGAGCACGGAAGGTGAGGAGAGGGGAGCACGCAAGGTGAGGAGAAGGGAGCACGCAAGGTGAGGAGAGGGGAGCACGCAAGGTGAGGAGAGGGGAGCACGCAAGGTGACGAGAGGGGAGCACGCAAGGTGAGGAGAGGGGAGCACGCAAGGTGAGGAGAGGGAGCACGCAAGGTGAGGAGAGGGGAGCACGCAAGGTGAGGAGAGGGGAGCACGCAAGGTGAGGAGAGGGGAGCACGCAAGGTGAGGAGAGGGGAGCACGCAAGGTGAGGAGAAGGGAGCACGCAAGGTGAGGAGAGGGAGCACGCAAGGTGAGGAGAGGGGAGCACGCAAGGTGAGGAGAGGGGAGCACGCAAGGTGAGGAGAGGGGAGCACGCAAGGTGAGGAGAGGGGAGCACGCAAGGTGAGGAGAGGGAGCACGCAAGGTGAGGAGAGGGGAGCACGCAAGGTGAGGAGAGGGAGCACGCAAGGTGAGGAGAGGGGAGCACGCAAGGTGAGGAGAAGGGAGCACGCAAGGTGAGGAGAGGGGAGCACGCAAGGTGAGGAGAGGGGAGCACGCAAGGTGAGGAGAGGGGAGCACGCAAGGTGAGGAGAGGGGAGCACGCAAGGTGAGGAGAGGGAGCACGCAAGGTGAGGAGAGGGGAGCACGCAAGGTGAGGAGAGGGGAGCACGCAAGGTGAGGAGAGGGGAGCACGCAAGGTGAGGAGAGGGGAGCACGCAAGGTGAGGAGAGGGGAGCACGCAAGGTGAGGAGAGGGGAGCACGCAAGGTGAGGAGAGGGGAGCACGCAAGGTGAGGAGAGGGGAGCACGCAAGGTGAGGAGAGGGGAGCACGCAAGGTGAGGAGAGGGAGCACGCAAGGTGAGGAGAGGGGAGCACGCAAGGTGAGGAGAGGGGAGCCCACGCAGGGTGAGGAGAGGGGAGCACGCAAGGTGAGGAGAGGGGAGCACGCAAGGTGAGGAGAGGGGAGCACGCAAGGTGAGGAGAGGGGAGCACGCAAGGTGAGGAGAGGGGAGCACGCAAGGTGAGGAGAGGGGAGCCCACGCAGGGTGAGGAGAGGGGAGCACGCAAGGTGAGGAGAGGGGAGCACGCAAGGTGAGGAGAGGGGAGCCCACGCAGGGTGAGGAGAGAGGGGCACGCGCAAGGTTGGCGATCGAAGAGCATTGGAGGTGAGGAGAGAGGGGCACGCGCGGGGAGGCGAGAGGAGCACGCAGGGTGAGGAGTGAGGAGCACGCACGGGGAGGCGTGGGAGGCATGCAAGGTGAAGAGAGAGGAGAACGAGTAGGTGAGGAGAGAGGAGCACGCAAGGTGAGGAGAGGGGAGCACGCAAGGTGAGGAGAGGGGAGCACGCAAGGTGAGGAGAGGGGAGCACGCAAGGTGAGGAGAGGGGAGCACGCAAGGTGAGGAGAGGGAGCACGCAAGGTGAGGAGAGGGGAGCACGCAAGGTGAGGAGAGGGGAGCCCACGCAGGGTGAGGAGAGGGGAGCACGCAAGGTGAGGAGAGGGGAGCACGCAAGGTGAGGAGAGGGGAGCACGCAAGGTGAGGAGAGGGGAGCACGCAAGGTGAGGAGAGGGGAGCACGCAAGGTGAGGAGAGGGGAGCCCACGCAGGGTGAGGAGAGGGGAGCACGCAAGGTGAGGAGAGGGGAGCACGCAAGGTGAGGAGAGGGGAGCCCACGCAGGGTGAGGAGAGAGGGGCACGCACAAGGTTGGCGATCGAAGAGCATTGGAGGTGAGGAGAGAGGGGCACGCGCGGGGAGGCGAGAGGAGCACGCAGGGTGAGGAGTGAGGAGCACGCACGGGGAGGCGTGGGAGGCATGCAAGGTGAAGAGAGAGGAGAACGAGTAGGTGAGGAGAGAGGAGCACGCAAGGTGAGGAGAGGGGAGCACGCAAGGTGAGGAGAGGGGAGCACGCAAGGTGAGGAGAGGGGAGCACGCAAGGTGAGGAGAGGGGAGCACGCAAGGTGAGGAGAGGGAGCACGCAAGGTGAGGAGAGGGGAGCACGCAAGGTGAGGAGAGGGGAGCACGCAAGGTGAGGAGAGGGGAGCACGCAAGGTGAGGAGAGGGAGCACGCAAGGTGAGGAGAGGGGAGCACGCAAGGTGAGGAGAGGGGAGCCCACGCAGGGTGAGGAGAGGGGAGCACGCAAGGTGAGGAGAGGGAGCACGCAAGGTGAGGATAGGGGAGCACGCAAGGTGAGGAGAGGGGAGCACGCAAGGTGAGGAGAGGGGAGCACGCAAGGTGAGGAGAGGGGAGCACGCAAGGTGAGGAGAGGGGAGCACGCAAGGTGAGGAGAGGGGAGCACGCAAGGTGAGGAGAGGGGAGCACGCAAGGTGAGGAGAGGGGAGCACGCAAGGTGAGGAGAGGGGAGCACGCAAGGTGAGGAGAGGGGAGCACGCAAGGTGAGGAGAGGGGAGCACGCAAGGTGAGGAGAGGGGAGCACGCAAGGTGAGGAGAGGGGAGCACGCAAGGTGAGGAGAGGGGAGCACGCAAGGTGAGGAGAGGGGAGCACGCAAGGTGAGGAGAGGGGAGCACGCAAGGTGAGGAGAGGGGAGCACGCAAGGTGAGGAGAGGGGAGCACGCAAGGTGAGGAGAGGGGAGCACGCAAGGTGAGGAGAGGGGAGCACGCAAGGTGAGGAGAGGGAGCACGCAAGGTGAGGAGAGGGGAGCACGCAAGGTGAGGAGAGGGGAGCACGCAAGGTGAGGAGAGGGGAGCA